GTTTCGTGTCTCATGTTCCATGTTTCACGTTCAATGTTCCATGTTTCATGTTTCATGTTTCATGTTTAATATTCAATATTTCATGTCTCATGTTAAATGTTCCGTGTTGTGGTGTGATGTAATAGCCTGTCCAAGTCATCCTGGTTCTTTCCCCAGGTGTGCCATCACACCACAACAGTTCCATGTTCCATGTTCCATGTTCAATGTTCAGTGTTCCACGTTCCATTTTTCATGTTCCATGTTCAATGTTCGATGTTCTATGTCCAACATTTCACATTTCATGTTCACTGTCCAATGTTTCATGTTGAATATTCAATATTTCATGTCTCACGTTCCATGTTCAATGTTCAATATTCAATGTTCCATGTTTGATGTTTCATGTTCAATGTTCAATGTTCAATGTTCCATGTTCAATGTTCAATGTTCAATATTCAATGTTCCATGTTTCATGTTCAATGTTCAATGTTCCATGTTCAATGTTCAATTCAACGTTCAACCCCGCAGCTCCGGGAATTTGGGTTTGGGCTGTATCAAACCCCAGAGCTGTGACACCCCAGGGTGGGGATGGGGCTCCGGGGCTGCTCCCAGTGCTGAGGTCCGGGAGCCGGGAATGGCCCGAGGGAGCCGGGAATGACCTGATGGAGCAGCAGTGCCCCTTATCAGAGTCTCAGATAACGTTTGCTCCGGGCATTTTAACTCTTTGCTGTCCACCAGGTCCCCAAAACCCTGCTGCACTGGAGCTGACTGGATTGCAATTCATGGCCAGATTTTATTGCCCCCATGGCCTCGTTTTGTTACCAAAAATTGGTAAAATAAAACTCCTTCACACCAGCACAGCACTGAACAGCAGGAATTCCTCACCTGGCCGGATGCACGGGGGGATTTCTCCTCCCAGCCATGGTGTGTGCTGAGCACAGAAGGAGCTCCTGTTTACATCCCCTGTCTCACACACAGATTCCCTGATTTTCCTGGAATAAACAGCCCCGAGGATCTGCTGATAACCAAGCATCTCACAAGACTTAGCAGAGTCAGCCCCAGAGCAATTAAATATTAATTTCAGCAGCACTTCTGAGCCTTCCCTCAGTGCCAGTGGGGCATGGGGAGTTTCTGGCCATGTCCCAACCCCAAAAGGTGCCAGTTCCCTCCTGCCTGGGCAGCTCTGCAAGGTCAGTTTGCCAATGATCCCCTGGGAATTCCCTGTTCTGCCAGCCCTGGAGGGGCCTCTGCCTTCCTTGGGATTATCTGCAAACAAATCACATTTTTCAGTGACTGATCTATTAATTCATGCTGTACTTGTGCTCATTATATTCCTTTGCAAACTGACCACTGTATTCTCTATTTCCCAATGTGTTTCCTGTGTTTCAGCTCTGTAATTCATTAACTGTGCAGTTTCCTGCCCACACCAGGTCACCAATCACCTGCTGGGTTTTCTGAGGCCCCCAGCCACGGGGCTGCCTGTGCTGACCACTGATATTTGGGGTTGTCCCAGGACATCCCAGGTGCTGCTGCAGGGTCCCTTTCCCAGCAGCTTCCTCAGCTGCTCTGTCAGCTCGGGGATTCCCAGGAATTGCTGGGGATTCTCCCACCTGCTGGGCCCCACACGGGCACTGCAGACACTTCTGCCCTTTGCAGGATTCCCCGGTCTGCAGGATTTTGGCCAACTCCTCCTTTGTGCTTCACAGGTGTTGGTGTGATCTCAGGGTTTACCCCAGAAACCCGGGTCCCTGCCCTGATCATTCCCTCCCAGGTGTGTCAGTCTCCTCTCCTTCCCCTCCCAGCACTGTCTGTCAGTCCTGCAATTCCAGAGTGATTGGCAGATCCAAAGGATGCCCTCTACCCCTGGGGGGCATGGGGCCATCCAGGTGTCCTTTGTCCCTTGTACCTGGTTGGTGGCTCCCTGCCCCTTCCCTCCTTTCCTCTCCTGGGTAAAAGAGTGAGGAACCACGGGCTCAGGGAGTTCTGTGGGAGCTGGTGCTGCATTCAGAGGCCTGAGGGCCAGAATAAAGCTCTGGATCCAAAGCCTCCATCAGAACCGACTCCTTTCCTTCACCATGGCCTCAAAGCTTCTCTGCCAGAGGGAAACCTGAGGAGCAGCCCCTGTTATGGGGGGAGCTCCATCCCAGCACCACCAGAGCTCCTGCAGGCCTGGACTTGTCTGCAGGGCCCAGCTGCAGCACCCAGGGAGCCAAAAGTGTCTGTGGGGTGAAACACCACACACCCAGCAGCCAAAAGTGTCTGTGGGGTGAAACACCACACACCCAGGCAGCCCAAAGTGTCTGTGGGGTGAAACAGCACACAGGAACAAGCCCCTCAGGAGGGAGCACCTGTGACCCTGCTGGCACAGCCAGGGTGTGCCAGGTTCAGCCAGGGCTGCAGGAGTGCCTGGGACTGTTCTATAAAAACATTATACTGTTTTTAATATATTCTATAAAAATAAAAATAAAATTTAAAAATAAAATAAAATAAAATAAAATAAAATAAAATAAAATAAAATAAAAATATAACTATACCTATGAATATAACTATACCTATGAATATAACTATAACTATAACTATAACTATAACTATAAAACTGGTTGAAATATATATTGGTTAAAACTGGTTATAAATATATAACTATATAACTATATATTAGTTATAAATAAATAACTGGTTAAAAATATATTTTTTTTTTTTTACCCTTAAGTCTGCTCCCCACTCTGCTTTTTACTGCCAGCACTGCTGGGCAGTGTCTGACCCACACTCCATCCATAACCCACAGCTCTCCCTGCCTGTCCCTGGACAGAAGGTGGTGTTTGCCTCCCCTGTTTGGGCCCTCAGCAGCTGGGCCCCCTTTGATCAGCCAGGCCCCATGGCCACAGCATTCCCTGCAGCCCCCGGTGTTCTTCTGCCTCCTTTGATCCCTGAAACATGAACACCTCAATGCCTTTTGGTCCAGGTGTTTTTGCATTGCCCACCCCAGAGAGATCTCGGAGCACCCAATTTTCCCAACAGATCTCTCTGCAGGCAGGGGCTGGGCGTTGGGGCAGGACAGAAATTGGAGTGCCCCCCCTGTTTTCCTGATTTGAACGGCAGAGGTTGGAACAAAGGCCTCTTCCCTTCCTCCCACAGCAGCTCCCAGCTCTGCTCTGCAGGAGCTCAGCACCCAAGAAGCTGCTCCCCATCAATCACAAATTTTCCTTTTCCTTCCCCATCAGTTGCTGCCAGGGGCTCAGCTGAGGATGAGTCCCTCGGTCCTCGCCAGGGGATTCCTCATCCCCACCTGGGAGCCTGATGGTCTGGAGAGCTGGTTTGGGATCCTGTCTGGGGGACATTTCCTTTTCCAATGTCCCCTTTCCTCACTAATTCAGCCACCAGTTACTGCAGCACTCCCACCACCATTGCTTCCCAGCGAGGGCATCCTGCCCCAGCTTCCCCCAAAGCTTCCCTTGGCATCCTCGGGGAATTCTGTCCAGAATCCCCCCTTTCACTGCACGGGCCACTTCCCATTCCAGCCCTGTGGTGTTCCAAGCCCATTCCCAGCTGGGATCATTCCAAACTGTGCCATTCCATACCCATTCCCAGCTGGGATCATTCCAAACTGTGCCATTCCAAACCCATTCCAGGACAGGATCATTCCAAACTGTGCCATTCCATACCCATTCCAGCTGGGACCATTCCAAACTGTGCCATTCCAAACCCATTCCAGGACAGGATCATTCCAAACTGTGCCATTCCAAACCCATTCCCAGCTGGGATCATTCCAAACTGTGCCATTCCAAACCCATTCCAGGGCGGGACCATTCCAAACTGTTCCATTCCAAACCCATTCCCAGCTGGGATCATTCCAAACTGTGCCATTCCATACCCATTCCCAGCTGGGATCATTCCAAACTGTGCCATTCCAAACCCATTCCAGGGCAGGATCATTCCAAACTGTGCCATTCCAAACCCATTCCATGGCAGGATCATTCCAAACTGTGCCATTCCAAACCCATTCCAGCTGGGATCATTCCAAACCCATTCCAGAGCAGGATCATTCCAAACTGTGCCATTCCAAACCCATTCCAGGGCAGGATCATTCCAAACTGTGCCATTCCAAACCCATTCCATGGCAGGATCATTCCAAACTGTGCCATTCCATACCCATTCCCAGCTGGGATCATTCCAAACTGTGCCATTCCAAACCCATTCCATGGCAGGATCATTCCAAACTGTGCCATTCCAAACCCATTCCAGCTGGGATCATTCCAAACCCATTCCAGGACAGGATCATTCCAAACTGTGCCATTCTAACCCATTCCAGGACAGGATCATTCCAAACTGTGCCATTCCAAACCCATTCCAGGACAGGATCATTCCAAACTGTGCCATTCCAAACCCATTCCCGGGTGGGAGCTCCCAGAAGAGCCCCAGACCCCCAGGGACCTTTGAGGCCCGCCCTGGGAAGCTTTTTCTGCACTTCCCCCTTCAAAGGAAAGGATGCCCTGCATCCTTTGGGGCCCCTGCTCCCATTTCCTGCCCTCTGGGGATCGCAGCTTCTCCCCAGAATTCCCTCCACGTCCCCCTGATCCCTCAGATCCACTGAAATTCAGGAGTAGGTCCCACCCAGCTGTTAGCAAACCCCCTTAGCACCAGGGGAGCAGAATTCCTGCTCCTAACGCGCCCTGGCGTCCCGGAGTTCCGTTTCCTCTGGTTTTTGGCAGCACAGCCGGTGTTTCCTCGGAACTGGGCTCCCTTGGGAGCGCTGCTGTGGGGCACAGGCACCGTGTGGCCCCGAGGATGTGGCAGAAGGGGAAATGTCCTCCCGGACCTGCTCCAGCCCTCGGGGGTGCCCCGGCAGCCGGAGCCCCGCAGGTCCCAGCAGGAGCCGGGTCCAGCCTCTCCCTCCCCGCGCAGCCCGGATCCAGGGATGGAATTCCCATTTTTTTAGGAATTCAGGACATTCAGCCCCACAAACTCCCGTCCTTGGAGGCACCTCAGCGTCCCAACCCCCCCGCGCTCCGGGCTCCGCTCTAATTTCAGGAATTTAATTGGGAAAACGGCTCCCGCCTCGTGATCTTATCTGAAAGGAGAAAAAAAGGGAAATTGGGGAATTTTCCTGGTTATTTGAGCGCCGAGCACAAAGGAGCGGGCCCAGCACCTCCCCCTCGTGTCCCGTCCTGCCGACCCCGATTCCGGCGGCTCCTCCACGTGGGCTCCCGGCACGTTGAACTGGGACAGCCCAAAAAAGCCACAGCCGGGGGTGGCACGGAGGTGACAGGGTGACACCGCCAGGAACGCTGGCAGCAGCCTCAGGTGGCACCAGGGGGGCACCGGCTGGGATTTCGGGAGCGTTTGGGGAATTTTCCTCCTGGAAAGAGCTGCCCAGCCCCGGGCGGCGGAAAAGCGGCGTGGACGCGGCTCCTGGGGACACGGCCAGTGGCGGCCCTGGGGACAGGTGACACCGGGGGTGTCCCATCTCCGCGGGGCCGCCCTGGCCCGGTTTCCCCTCCCAGCTCCGTGGGCAGATGGAGCGCGGGTGGGGGGGCCTGTCCCCATTCCCCTGGGAACGCCACCATCTGTCCCCTGCTCGGTGACATCCGCCCGGGGGCACTCCCAGTGCTCCCAGTGCTGCCAGTGCTGCCAGTGCCAGCGGCCCCGGGCTCGCTGGGAAGGGAGGGGAGCTCCGTGCCCGGGGGGGCCGCACTGGGAGCAGCTGGGGGCTGCAGGTGCCCCCCAGGTGTGCGGATCCCCCCCAGCCCCACGGTGGGTCCCGTCCCCCCCCCCCCCCCCCCCACAGCCTCATCTGCATTTTTTACTCATTTCTACATTTTTTACTCATTTCTACATTTTTTACTCATTTCTACGTTTTTTACTCATTTCCACATTAACTCCGGTTTTTGGCGTTTGTTTATTTGGGGAAGGGGGGACACTGAGGGGACACGTGGTGGCCTCTGCTGTCACCAGAGGCCTGTCATGGTTCAACCACGACAAAGAGCCCAGAGGAGTCTCCTTCCTTCCTCCCTCCCTCCCTTCCTCTTCCTCCCTCCCTGCCCTTCCTCCTAATTAAAGGGAATAAATAGAATAGAAAGAAATAGAATTAAATGGAATAGGAAGAGCAGAATGGGGTAGGAGAACTGGACTAAGCAGAAGATAACAACTGGAATAACTTAAACAGAATAAAATAAAACAGAAAGGATAATAAATGACGTAGAAATGACATAGAAAAAAATAAAATAAATAGACTTAAAACAAACTTCTGGCCTTAAATACAAACACGGGGCAGGGCACTGGTGGGACTGGCAGGGACTGGGAATGCCTCTGAGGGACATTCCAGGATCCAAAGGTACTTCAGTATCTGAAGAGAACACGGAGAATCATCCCAGAGGGATTTTCCAGGGTCCGAGGATACCTCGAGGCCCCAGGGGACACGGAGAAGCATCCCCGGGGGATTTTCTCAGGTGCAAAGGGAACACGGAGAACCCTCCCAGAGGGATTTCCAGGGTCTGGGAGAACTGGGAAGTGCTGGAGGACATTTCAAGGTCCAAAGGGACACGGAGAAGTGTCCTGGAGAGACTTTCCGAGGTGTGAAAGGCACATGGAGAAACGTCCCTGAGGGATTTCTCAAGGTCCAAAGGGACACGGAGAAGTCCCCGGGTTCCAGAAGCCTCCGGGGGTGCCCCGGGGTGGGCGCGGCACCGGCGGGGTCCCACCCACCGGGGCACCGGGATGGCCCCGCTCCCGCGGCTACCGCAGGGCACCCGCCGGGAGCTCCCCGTCCCCGAGGGCTTCCCCAGCCCTGAGCAGGTCCCTGGCCTCGAGGGGGTCCCTGTCCCCCAGCATGGCCCCATCCCTACGGGGGTGCCTCTCACTGAGCAGGTCCCCATCCCCACAGGGCTCCCTATCCCTGTCCCTGTCCCTGAGCGAGTCCCTATCCCCACGGGGGTCCCTGTCCCCATCCCTATCCCTATCCCTATCCCTATCCCTATCCCTGTCCGTGTCCCTGAGCGAGTCCCTATCCCCACGGGGGTCCCTGTCCCCATCCCTATCCCTATCCCTATCCCTATCCCTATCCCTATCCCTATCCCTGTCCCTGTCCCTATCCCTATCCCTATCCCTATCCCTGAGCGAGTCCCCGTCCCCACGGGGGTCCCTGTCCCCGCAGGGGTCCCTATCCATGCCCCTACCCCTGAGAGGGTCCCTGTCCCCGCAGGATTCCCTGTCCCTGTCCCTGTACAGGTTCCTGTCTCTGTCCCTGTGCTCGCGGGGGTCCCTATTGCTGTCTCTGAGTGGGTCCCTGTCCCTGAGGCTGTCCCTGTCCCCACGGGGGTCCCTGTGGCTGTCCCCGTCCCCCTGAGGGTCCCTGTCCCTGTCCCTGTCCCCGCGGGGGTCCCTGTCGCTGTTCCTGTCCCCGCGGGGGTCCCCGTCCCCGTCCCCGCGGGGCCCGCGGCTGCGGGGCCGGCATTGCCGGCGCGTCCTGCGGTGTGAGCTGAGGTTGGCCCGCGATGCGAAGGTGCGGCCGCAGCGGGAGCAGGGGAAGGGCCGCTGGCGCGAGTGGCCCCGGCGGTGCAGCCAGAGGTGCCCGCGGTGCGGGAACACGCGGCCGCACTCGGGGCACGGGTGGGCGCGGTGCTGCCGCAGGTGCAGCTCCAGGCTCTCCCGCCAGCTGTAGCTCTTCCCGCAGCGCCCGCACACGAAGGGCCGCTCCCCGGCCGGCCCCGCCGCGCCCGCGCAGCGCGGGGGCCGCTCCCGGTGCGAGTCACGGTGCCGCAGCAGGTCCCCGCGCAGGCAGAAGCTGCGGCCGCACTCGGAGCAGCCGTGCCGGGCCCGGTTCCCCCGGCGCAGCTTCTTGTGCGCCAGGAGGCTGCGGCGGTGCCGGAAGGATTTGCCGCAGGTGCCGCACAGGTACGGCCGGCCCGGGAGCGCCTCGGCCCCGCCGCTCCTGCCGGTGAGGAGCCCCGACGCCGCCGGCACCGGCCGGGGCAGGGCCCCGGCACGGCCCCCCCGCTCGGTGTCGCGGCAGCCCGAGCGGGGGACACCGGAGCCCGATTGCCAGCGTCCCCCGGCGTCATCCTTGGTGTCAGAGCCGCTCCAGGCACCTGCTGGGGACACGGCGGCACCGTGGGGGAGTCCCGGACCCACCGCCGGCCCCGCGGCCACCCCTGCGACACCAGCCCAGCCCAGGGGTGTCACACCGGGGCTCTGACCAGGGCCAGCCCCGGGTCCCACAGCGACCCCCCCAGCCCGAGGGTGTCCCCGCGGGGTGCCCCGGTCACTCACAGCTGTCGGTGCTGTCGGTGCTGTCGCTATCTCCGCTGTGCCCCCCAGCGCAGGGAGCCCCCCCGTGCGACTCCTCCTTCATGTGGGGGAACGTGGAGTTGGGGTCTGTGAGGGAGAGAGGACCCTCAGTGCCCCCGCCACGCTCTGGGAGGGTCACGGTCACCGGGAACGTCACCAGGCCGGGGGCTGAGCTGGGGGCGGGGGGCCAGAGCACCCCCAGCCCGTGCCACCCCCCGCCCCGTGGTACCCCCTGCCCGTGGCTCTCCATGCCCCTTGGCACCCGGAACCCTGGGCACCCCCAGCCTGTGGCACCCCCAGCCCTGGGCACCCCCAGTCCCGTGACACCCCGTGCCCGTGCCACCCCCAGTCCCATGGCATCCCCAGCCCTGGGCACCCCCTGTCCGTGTCACCTGCCCCCGGCACCCCCTGCCCATGGCACCCCCTGTCCGTGGCACCCCCAGCCCCGTGTCACCCCGAGCCCCCTGCCACCCCCTGCCCATGGCACCCCCTGTCCATAGCACTCTCTGCCCGTGTCACCCCCTGCCCATGGCACCCCCTGCCCGTGGCACTCCCTGTCCATGGCACCCCCTGTCCATAGCACCCCCTGTCCGTGGCACCCCCAGCCCCATGGCACCCCCAGCCCGTGATATTCCCTGTCCGTGTCACTCCCAGCCCCATGTCACCCCCAGGCCGTGTCACCCCAGCCCCACTTCCCCGTCCCTCACCCAGGCTGGCCACCATCTCGTAGTTGTCGCACATGACCTGTCGGTGCAGCTCCCGCTGCCAGGGCGCCAGCTGCGCCCACTCCTCGGGGGAGAAGCGCACGGCCACCTCCTCGAATGTCACCTCGGGGGTCACCCCCTGGCAGGGACAGCGGGGGGCTCAGGGGGACGGCGGCGCCGCCCTCGCTGCGCTCCCCGTGGGGGTCCCTGGGCTCTAGGGGCCCGAGCCCCGCTAATCCCGACCGGGACAGCCCCGGCGGCCCCCCCAGCCCTCCGCAGCGACCCGCGGAGCCCCCCCGCCCCCGGCGCACCCCGGGCCCCGGGCACGGCCCGGGCTCACCCGCTGCATGGCCGGGCGGGGCCGATGGCGGCGGCGGAAGGGGCCGGGCTGGAGGGAGGCACCGGCAGGGGGGAGAGCGCCGGAACCGGGCCTTGGGGGCACTGGGGGGGGCAGCGGGCGAGGGGAGGCTCTGCGGTGCGGTGGATGCCGGGATCCGGCTCCTTCCCGTGCCCGGCGGGTGCCGGGATCCGGCTCCTTCCCGTGCCCGGCGGGTGCCGGGATCCGGCTCCTTCCCGTGCCCGGTGGGTACCGGGATCCGGCTCCTGTGCTGTGCCCGGCGGGTGCCGGGATCCGGCTCCTGTGCTGTGCCCGGCGGGTACCGGGATCCGGCTCCTGTGCTGTGCCCGGCGGGTGCCGGGATCCGGCTCCTTCCCGTGCCCGGCGGGAGCCGGGATCCGGCTCCTTCCCGTGCCCGGCGGGTGCCGGGATCCGGCTCCTGTGCTGTGCCCAGTGGGTGCTGGGATCCGGCTCCTTCCCGTGCCCGGCGGGTGCCGGGATCCGGCCCTGCTCGCCCACCCGGCAGCGTCACCCCCGCCCCAAACGGGGCCCCTCGGGACACGGCCCCGTCCGAATGGGCCCCCCCAAATCCCGAGGGACCGGCCCGGTGACCCCCGGGATCCAGGAGCCCCAGGGGGCTCCCGCATCAGGTGTCCCCAGCCCGGAGGGTCCCCAACCGCGTCTCCGCCCCAGGACAGGGACACCCGCGGGTCCTGCAGCCCCTGTGCCCAAACCCCCTAGAACCCACGCCGGTGGCACCGCGTGTCCCCAGCCAGAGCACAGCCACACACCTGGGACAGGGGGCACAGGGGGTCTGTGTCCCAGTGGGTCCCCCCAGTGACCCCAGCCCCAGCATGAGACCCCCCCCCAATCTCCCCAGGGAGCATTGGGGGCGTTGGTGCCACCCCCGTGGATGTGACAGTGACCCTGGGGTCGGCCACCCTATTGCTGAGCTCTCACCTGGTGTCCAGGTGAGGTTTGGTGGTCACAGAGCTCTGGCAGTGTCCTGGTGGTCACAGAACTATGGCAGTGTCCCTGGTGGTCCCTTGGCCATGGTCAGAGCCTTTCCGGGGGCTCAGGCCTGGACTGAGGCTGCAGAGAGACCCCTGTGCCCCCCGCCCAGTCCCAGACAGAGCACCTGGAGCCCCGCAGCCATCAGAAGCTTTTATTTTAAATAACCTCAAAAAATAGAATTGCAGAGAGCAGAGCTGGGGAAGGGGAGTGGGGCGGGACCCCCTGCCCAGCCGGGGCTCCGGGGGCGGCTGTCCCGGTGTCGGTCCCGTCACAGGATCCGGTTCCCTTTGGGATGAAGCAAGGGCAGCTCCCAGCGGTGTCTGTGGCCGAAGCTCTGCCCAGACCGTGGATCACCGGCTCTGTCACACCGGGGGGACGGGGAGAGGCCACACAAACCCCAGCCAAGCCCCCCGAGCCCCCCACCACCGCCACCACCACCACGATCCGGCCCCAGCGGCCCCCCCGTGTCACCCTTCCCCATCCGGATATCGAGTCCCAAAGCGCGCAGTTACCCAGAGCAAGCAGAAGCACAAGCTGCCCCCCATCCCCCCGGCACCGGAGGCGTCTCCGGGCCCTTCTGGAAGCAGAGCTGAGCCCTTCCAGTCCCTTTTCCTTTTCCTGGCTGTTTGCCCAGTGCGCTCCCAGCCCCCCGCATGGAGCTGCACTGGGGACCCCAGGGGTCAGCCCGCTGCAGGGCGGGCCCAGCCTCCCATCCCAGCATGTCCTTAGGGAATGCCATCCAGTCCGGAACAGGCTGGAAGGTTCTGGAAGCAGAGGGAGCCCTTGAGGGCCCCTCTTGTCCCAAGTCTGGCTCCAGTGGATGCAACTCCACTGTGCCCAGCTCTTCCTGGTCTGTGTGGCTGGAGCCCACACGGCAGATCCAGCCCCAGCGCTGGCTCCTCCAGCCCTTTGGTGTCTTCCCAAGCCAGGAATGTGCCATGTCCCAGCCTGGCTCTGCTTTGCCCCACAGCCTCGGCTGGAGGTTCCTCCAAGTCCCAGTGCTGAATCTGGCTGGCAGTATCACCTTGGCACCGAGCCCTCAGCTCCGTCCCTTTGGCTCTGTCCCCTCGGTTCCATCCTTTTGGCTCTGTCCCCTCAGTTCCATCCTTTTGGCTCTGTCCCCTCTGGCTCCATCTCGTTGACTCTGTCCCCTCGGCTCCGTCCCTCTGGATCTGTCCCCTTGGCTCCGTTTTTTGGCTCTGTCCCCTGGGCTCCATCTCCTCCAGGCTCGCCGTGGGTGACCCCATGAGCCGAGGGCCGGTCCTTGCTGGGGGTGTCTCACTGGGGGTTCCAGTGTGGGGGATCGCAGGCGGCCGGGGCAGGGTGGGGGTCCTGGTGGGGGGGTCTCAGCGCAGGTCCCAGCGTGGGGGTCGCAGGCAGCCGGGGGGTCCCGGGGCTCACAGGCAGCCGGGGCACGGGGCCGGTTTCTCCTCGCCACACTCGCGCTCCGGCGCTCCCGGCACTCGCTTCTCGTCGAAGGCGCGGGCGCAGCCGCCGGCCTTGGCCCAGAGCTGCCCGCGGGGGGGCTCGGGAGGGCGGGGGGCCAGGCAGGCGGCGCAGCAGCACGGCGGGGGCAGCCCCGGCGCCCGGGGGCTCGGGCCGCCCCCGGGGCACTTACAGGGGGGCACCGGGGCCGGGGCGGCGCCGGGGCCGGGCGGGGGCTCGTCCTGCATCAGCTGCAGGAGGATGTCGGCGGCGCCCGAGGGGCTGTCGGGGCGCGCCGGGGGCGCCCCGCGGGAGCAGGGCGGCAGCAGCAGCGCGGGGGGCTCGGGGCCCTTGGCCAGGGGGTCGCCGGCGGCGCAGGGGGGGGCCAGGCCGGCGCCGTGGGTGCGGCGGTGCCGCAGCAGGTGAGCCTTCTGGCTGAAGCCCTTGCCGCAGTCGGCGCAGCGGAACGGCCGCTCCCCGGTGTGCGTCCGCAGGTGCACGGCCAGGTTCACCTTCTGCCGGAAGCGCTTCCCGCACTCGGCACAGGCGTGGGGCCGCTCGGCGGCGCAGCCGTGGGGACACTCGGAGCACGCGTGGGGACACTCGGAGCACGCGTGGGGCTGCTCGGCGCAGCCGTGGGGCCGCTCGGCACAGGGGTGGGGCCGCTCGCAGGGGTGGGGATGCTCGGCGCAGGTGCGAGGATGCTCGGCGCAGCCGCGGGGGCACTCGGCGCAGCCGTGGGGCTGCTCGCACGCGTGGGGCCGCTTGCCGCAGGCGTGGGGCTGCTCGCAGGGGTGGGGACACTCAGCACAGGGGTGCGGCCGCTCGGCGCAGGGCTGAGGCTGCGGCTGCCCGCAGGTGTGGGGTCGCTCACAGGCGTGAGGATGCTCCGTACAGGCGTGAGGATGCTCCGTACAGGCGTGAGGATGCTCCACACAGGCGTGGGGATGCTCGGCGCAGGTGCGGCGCTGCTCGGGGCAGGTGTGGAGCCGCTCGGCGCAGCCGTGGGGACGCTCGGCACAAGCGTGGGGACGCTCGGCACAAGCGTGGGGACACTTGGCGCAGGTGTGCAGCTGCTCGGCGCAGGTGTGGGGCCGCTCGCCGCCGCCATGGCCCGGCCGGAGCCCCCCGTGCTCCGCACAGGCCTCCCCGCAGAGCCCGCAGGGGAAGGGGCTCCCGGCGGGGTCCAGGGTGCCGGGGGCCGGGCCGGGGGTCCCGGTGTGCACGCGCTGGTGCACCCGCAGGGACAATTTGCTCTTGAAGCGCTTGGGGCACTCGAGGCAGGTGAAGGGCTGGCGGCCCAGGTGCGTCTTCTGGTGTGCCAGCAGGTTGGGCTTCTGGGCGAAGCGCTTCCCGCACTGGGCGCAGGCGAAGGGGCGCTCGCCCGTGTGCACCCGGTAGTGCGTCACCAGGTTGCCCTTCTGGTTGAAGCGGCGGCCGCAGACGCCGCAGGTGAAGGGCCGCTCACCTGTGTGGATGCGCTGGTGGGTGGCCAGGTTGGTTTTGAGGCTGAAGCGCTTGCCGCAGGTGTCGCAGCGGAAGGGGCCGCGCCCGCCGGCGCCGTGCCCGTGCCGCGGCGCCCGCTCGCACTGCGCCAGGCCCCGCCCGCACTCGGGGCACGGCCAGGGCCGGCCCTCGCCCGCCCGCGCCCCCGGGGGGGACCCGGGGGGCTGCTCGGCGCCCGGCTCCGCAGGGGGGGCGCCGGGGCACGGCTTGTGCCCCGCGTGGCTCTTCTGGTGGGCGACGAGGGCGAGCCAGAGCCCGAAGCTGTTGCCGCACTGATTGCAGATGAAGGGCTTTTCCGGGGAGAGCACGGCCTCGCCCGGCCCCGGCTGCGCCCCCAGGGGCCCCAGGAGGGGCGGGCCGGGGGCGAAGGGCGCGGCGGGCGCCTCGGGGGGCCGCAGCAGGGGCACCTTGGGGCAGAAGCCGTCGCCGCAGTGGGCGCAGGGGAAGGAGGGCTCGGCCGGGGGCGGGGGGGGGAAGCCCTTCTCGGGGCACGGGAACAGCTCGGCGGCGCCCTCGGGGAGCTTGGGGGCGGGCGGGAGCGGGGCGAAGGGAGCGGGGTCCTGTGGGGCGGGCGCGGGGGGCAGCAGGGCGGGCGCGGCCCCGAAGGGCGCGGCGGGGGCCGGGCCGCGCGCGGGGCAGCGGCGCTGGCGGGGGATGTGCGTCTTCTGGTGGGCCTTGAGGGACACCTTGTCCTTGAAGCACTTGTGGCACTGGGCGCAGGGGAAGGGGCGCAGGTCGGTGTGGGTGCTCTGGTGCGTGACCAGGTTGGTTTTCTGGGTGAAGCGCTTGCCGCACTGGGCGCAGGCGAAGGGCCGCTCACCTGTGTGCACCCGGTAGTGCGTCACCAGGTTGGTTTTCTGGTTGAAGCTGCGGCCGCACAGGAAGCAGGAGAAGGGCCGCTCGCCCGTGTGGATGCGCCGGTGCGTGATCAGGTTGGGCTTCTGTCGGAAGCTCTTGCCGCACTCGGGGCACACGAAGGGCGCGTCCTCGGGGCAGCCCCGCGCCGGCGCCCGCGCCCGCGCCTTGCCCTCCTCGGGGTGGGCGCCGTGGATGCGCTGGTGCGCCAGCAGGTTGGCCTTCTGCGAGAAGCTCTTGCCGCACTGGGCGCAGGGGAAGGGCCGCTCGCCCGTGTGCACGCGCCGGTGCGTCAGCAGGTTGGGCCGCTGGCTGAAGCTCTTGCCGCAGTCCCCGCAGCGGAACGGCTTCTCCCCGGTGTGGATGCGCTCGTGCGTCACCAGGCTCTGCTTCTGCCGGAAGCCCTTCCCGCACTGGGCGCAGCGGAAGGGGCCGGGGACGCCCCCCTGGGCCCCCCAGCAGCCGGCGCGGGGGGCAGGGGGGTCCCGGGGGGGCTCGGGGCCGCGCTGCCCACCGGGGAACCAGCGGCCGGAGCTGCCGCCCGCGGCGGCCGGGAACAGCTCCAGGGAGCCGGCGCCAATCCCGGGCTTCTCCTCGGGCTCCACCTTGCTCACCCGCCCGGGCTCCACTGCACCGGAGAGATCCCGGGGTTAGCCCGGCTCCCAGAGAATTCCAGGCTGTCCCGAGTGGGGAGGACCCAGGCCCAGCCCCCCCTTCCTTGTGGGGCCCCCACTGCTGAACCATGGCGACATGGGACACCCCAAAGAGCTTCAACTCCCCAGGCCTCTCCTGGTGTGTGACACCCCAAAGGGCCCCCAAAACCCCCAGTTTGTGACACACAGGTCCAAAATTGTCTAAACTGGCTCAGAATGGCAAAAACTGGTCCAAAATGGCCAAAACTGGCTCTCAAAACTGGCCTACAATGACCACAAACTGGTCCAGTATTACCACAAATTGGTCATGAACGGCTGTGAACTGGCCCAGGATGGCGCCAAAATGGCTGAAAACTGGCCCAAAATGGCTGAAAAAGGTCTTTAAACTGGCTCAGAGCAGCCCCTAACCGGTCCCAAAATGTTCTAAACTGCCCCAGAACGCCCCTAAAGAATCCCAGCCCGCCTTTTCCCCCGAGCCCCCCAGTCCCACTGCTCCCCCAGTCCCACAGCCCCGGACTCACCAGCGCAGGGGCTGCCCAGGGCCTTGGACTCCTCCGGGCCCGTCCGCGCGGCTCCGAACGGCTCCTCCGGCGGCTTCATCCCGAACAAACCCCCCGGCTTAAAGAACCGGTACCCTGGGGGGACACGGGGCAGCGCCGTCGGGAGCCCGGCATGGCTGGGACCGGGCTGATCCCGGGAGAGCCGGGCTGATCCCGGGAGAGCCGGGCTCTGGCATGGGCCATGGAGCCGCTCCTCGAGAAGCGGCTCCAGGTGAGCTGGGACGGAGCCATCCTGGGCTCTGGGCTTTCCCTGCAGCCTCTCCCAGCCCCGGGAATCCCCAGAACGCTTTCATCATCCCAGTTCAAAGTCCCCACAAAAATGCACAGAGTTCTGTGCGGAAAATCCCACCCCAGCCCCCACCCCAGGGTGCTCTCCTCCCCTCACCTGTGCAGGGATCCGAGGGGATCTCGGCGCCCACGGCATCCAGCTGGGATCCGGCCCGCGGCGCCGGGCTCAGCCGGGAATACGGGAGCAGATCCAGGGCGTGGGCGGGCTGGGGAGGGGGCAGCAGCTCAGAGGCATTTTGGGGTCATTTGGGGATGTTTGGGGACCTTTCCCTGGGTTTGGCCACAGGCCAAGGACAGGGATCGTGCCCCTATTCCTGCATCCCAAATACGAGGTTTCTCGCTCCAGGATGGAGCCCCCATCCCTGCTCCCCAAATCAGACCCCTGCTCCCCCAAATTATATCCCCACCACCCCAAACCAGACCCCTGCTCTCCCAAATTACATCCCCACCACCCCAAACCAGACCCCTGCTCCCCCAAATCACACCCCCACCTCCCCAAACCAAATCCCCGCTTCCCCAGCAGATCCCTCCTTCCCAAACGAGATCCTTGTTCCCCCACAACAGATGCCCAGCCCCGTTCCTCCAGACCAGATCCCTGACCCCTAAACCAGGTCCCTGTCCCCCCCATCCCCACTGCCCACCCCCCATACCAGCTCCTTTTCCAGCCAGGACCCGCACCGAGGGAGGAACCTGTCCCGAGGAGCCAGTCCTGCTTCTCCGGAGACACTGAACCCCCCCCGGTCCCCCGTGCCCTCCCGGGTCCCTCTCGTGTCCCCAAGCCCCCGCAGCCCGGTGGAGGCAGAGCCGGGAGGGGGGTGCGGTCCCCAATGCGCCGATTTCCCGGAAAAACTCCTGGGGGGCTCCAGGGGTCGAGGAAAAACACACGGGAAAAGCCCCGGGCCCCGGGGATCCCCCCAAAGGCCGCGGGGGGGGAGGAGCGGGGATCCCCCGGGAGTTCCCCCGAGTCCCCCGCGTACCTGGGGCGCTCCCCCCGCCGACATCGCTGCCCCTTCCCGGGCCCTGCGGCCCCTCCGGCTCCTCGGGGCTCCTTCCCCGCGGCTCCCCGGCCCTTCCCCGGCCTCTGCCCGGCCTCCTCCTGGCCTCCTTCCGCCACCGAGTCCCTCAAATGGCCGCGACGGGTCCTGCGAGAGCGGGAGAGCCGCGATGGGAGCGGGAGCGGGGATGGGGCGGGAGGGCGGCGGGGATGGGGCGGGAGGGCGGCGGAACCGGGCCGGAGGAGCGCGGCAGTCCCGGAGCGGCTCCGGCGGCCTCGGCCCCCCCCGTCCTCCTCCTCCTCCTCCTCCTCCCCCCGGAATTTGGGGTGCGGAAGGCGCCGAGCGAGGCCGGATCCGGCTGTGAACGGCGAGAGCCGGGAGCGCTGGGAGTTGTAGTTCGGGATGGGATGGGATGGGATGGGATGGGATGGGATGGGATGGGATGGGATGGGATAAGGGGATGGGATAAGGGGATGGGATGGGATAATGGAACGGGATCGGATGGGATGGGAGCGAGCGGGAGCGGCAGCAGGGAATGGCCCCGGCACAGCATCGGCTTGTCCAGCCGGGAACGGCCCCGGGAACCAGGAATAGCCCCGGGAGCCGGGAATACGGGAATAGCCCCGGGAGCCGGGAATACGGGAATAGCCCCGGGAGCCGGGAATACAGGAATAGCCCCGGGAGCCGGGAATACGGGAATAGCCCCAGGAGCCGGGAATAGCTCCGGTACAGCAGCGCCTGGAGAACCGGCAACAGCCTCGGGAGCAGGGAATAGCCTCGGGAGCAGGGAATAGCCCTGGCACAGCCTCGTCCTGCCAGAAACAGCCCCGGGAGCCGGGAACAGCCCCGGGAGAACCGGGAATAGCCCCGAGAGCCGGGAACAGCCCCGGCACAGCATCCTCCTGGCAGGAATAGCCCCGGGCGCTGGGAATAGCCCGGCACAGCCTCGCCTTGGCAGTCAGGAATAGCCCTGGGGCGCGGAAGGAGCCGTGGCGTGGAATCACCTCATCAGCCGGGAACAGCCCCGGGAGCCAGGAACAGCCCAAAGAGCCGGGAACAGCCCAAGGAGCCGGGAACAGCCCCGGGAGCGGCCCCGGGAGCCGGGAACAGCCCCGGGAGCGGCCTCGGGAGCCGGGAACAGCCCCAGGGCCACCGGGCCGCGCTCCCCCGGGCCCAGCGGCTCCTGCGGCAGCTCCCGGCGATCTCGGCTCTCCCCGGTGCCGGCCGCGCCTCGGGGGGTTCGCAGTGACCCCCGTGCCCCCCAGCACCGGCTCCCTCCCGCGGGACCCCCGGACCCCCGCTCCCACGCGTGTTCCCCCCCGAGACCCCGGCAGTTCCCGAGACCCCCGAGCCCCCCCAGACTCACCCCGAGCCCCCCCGACCCCCGGTCCGTGCCACCCCCCCCCTCCGGGCCACGTGACCGCGACCCCCGGGACCCTCCCCGGGAAACTCACGGGCGGCCGCTGCCCCGCCGCGCGGTGACGTCACGCGCGCGGTGACGTCAGCGCGCCGGTGACGTCGTGGTGTCAGCCATTGCCGCGTCCGGCCGCTCCCCGTTCCGGGTCGGGGGGCGGGGCCCGGCGGCAGCGCCCCCTAGCGGAGCCGCGGGACAGGGGATGGGGAGGGGCCGGAGAGACCCCGCCCCCCCAGTGTCCCCCCAGCGTCCCCCCGGTGTCCCCTCAGTGTCCCTTAGTGTTCCCCAGTACTGCCCCGGTGTCCCCAGCGTGCCCAGTGTCCCCCAGTATAGCCCCAGTGTCCCCAGTGTCCCTTAGTGTTCCTCAGTACAGCTCCAGTGTCCCTTAGTGTCCCCTAGTACAGCCCCAGTGTCCCCAGTGTCCCCACAGTGCTCTCCAGAGCTCCCCAGTGCCCTCCAGGACTCCCCAGTACAGCCCCAGTGTCCCCAGTGTCCCCCAGTACAGCCCCAGGGCTCCCAGTGTCCCCTCACTGTCCCCCAATACAGCCCCGGTGTCCCCAGTGTGCCCCAATGTCCCCAGTACACTCCTAGTGTCCCCAGTGTCCCCCATACAGTCCAAGTGCTCCCACAGTGCTCCCACAGCGCTCTCCAGAGCTCCCCAGACCTCCCAGTGTCCCCCAGTACAGCCCCAGTGCCTCCCAGTAACCCCACAGTGCCCCCAGTGCACCCCCGTGCCAGCCGCACCCCCTGGTGCTCCCCGGTGCCCCCCACACCTCCGGATGTCACCCCCCCGGCCTTCAGCACCTCACTCCCCCCCAGTCCTGCTACCGGGAGGGGATACCCGGACAAGGACAGCCGGGAGGAGCGGGAGGTTGTTCCCAGCGTCTGGAGCACATTCCCGGGGGACAGGACCCCCTTCCCGGAGGACAGGATCCCGTTTCCAGGGCCAGGACCCCATTCTCGGGGGCAGGACCCCATTCCCGGGGGCAGGACCCCATTTCCTGGGGGCAGGATCCTGTTTCCGGGGCCAAGACCCCGTTCCCGGAGGGCAGAGCTCATTCGCGGCTGCTCCGGGGGCTGGAGCCATTCCCGGGGACCAGAGCCCATGGCCGGTACCAGGAGTCTGTTCCTGGCGGCAGGGTGTCCTTCCCGGTGGGACATGACAACATTGCCGGGGGGCAGGAGCCCATTCCCGGGGGCCAGGAACCCATTCCCGGGGGCGGGAGCCATTCCCGGGGGCAGGAGCCCGTTCTCGGGGGTAAGGATGCCACTCCCGGTGGGACACGACAACACTGGCGGTGGGACAGGGACATGAAGCCATCCCTGCGGGACTGGAGGTTGTTCCCAGGAGCAGGAGCCCATTCCCGGAGGCTGGAGTTTGCTCCCAGGGGACTGCAGCTCGTTCCCGGGAGGCAGGAGCCATTCCCGGGGGGCAGGAGCCATTCCCGGGGCTGCAGGGTGTTCCCAGCGGACTGCAGCCCATTCCCGGGAGGCAGGAGCCATTCCCGGGGGGCAGGAGCCATTCCCGGGGCTGCAGGGTGTTCCCAGCGGACTGCAGCCCATTCCCGGAGTCAGGAGCCGTTCCCGGGGGGCAGGAGCCGTTCCCGGGGCTGCAGGGTGTTCCCAGTGGACTGCAGCCCATTCCCAGGAGGCAGGAGCCCATTCCCGAGGGGCAGAAGCCATTCCCGGGAGGCAGGAGCCGTTCCTGGGGGGCAGGAGCCGTTCCCAGAGGACTGCAGCCCATTCCCGGGGGGCAGGAGCCGTTCCCGGGAGGCAGGAGCCGTTCCCAGAGGACTGCAGCCCATTCCCGGGAGGCAGGAGCCCATTCCCGGGGGGCAGGAGCCCATTCCCGGGGGGCAGGAGCCCATTCCCGGGAGGCAGGAGCCGTTCCCGAGGGACAGGAGCCCATTCCCGGGGGGCAGGAGCCGTTCTGGGGCTGCAGGGCGCTGCCAGGGCAGGATGGCATTCCCAGGTCATGACGCCATTCCCGGGGTCTGTCCACCGATCCCATCCCATCCCACCCCATTATCCCATCCCATCCCACCCCATTATCACATCCCACCCCATCCCATTATCCCACCCCACCCCACCCCATTATCCCACCCCATTATCCCATCCCATCCCGGCCCCTCCTCCCGCGCCCCGCGGCGGGGGTGGGGGGGGTGACCCGCGGGGCCGTCCCGGGGGCGGATTTGGGGGCAGATCCCAGGAAATCGGCTCATGCCGGCCCGACGCCAGCGGCCCGCGGATCCGTGAGGCAGCTGCGGGCGGGATGGGGCTGCCGGTGTGGCGCTGGCTGCCGCTGGCCCTGGCGGCGGCCCTGGCGGCGGCGGCGGTGGCCGCGGGGCAGTCCCCGCTGCAGCGGCGCGTGGTGCGCGATGTGCTCGAGTATTTCCACGGGCGCAGCAACGTGCACTTCCTCTTCAAGGAGCGGGAGCTGGACGGGCTCATCGAGCGGGTCAGCAGCGGCGTTCCGCACCGGGAGCCGCCACCCGGGAGCCGGGATGGCCACGGGAACGGGGAGGGGGCGCGGGGGTCCCGGGGGGAACGGGGAGGGGACGGAGTGGCCGGGAGAGAGCAGCGGTGGAGGGGTCATCGAGGGGGTGGGCAGGGATTGGGATTGGGATCGAGGATTATTGGGGGCTCAGGGTGGCCACGAGGACAGGGAGGGGGTCAGGGTGGGGGGTCCTGGAGGGGGCACGGGTGAACGGGGTCATCGGGCATGGGGGCAACAGGATTTGGGGTTCAGGGTCCGGGATGACCATGGGAATGGGGAGGGTGTTGGGGTGTCCCAGGGGGAACAGAGAGGGTAGGGGTGGGGATTGGGGTGTCCTGGAGGGACAGAGAGGGTTGGGGAGGGGATTGGGGTGTCCTGGAGGGAATGGCAGATGGATGGGATCATCAAGCAGGTGAGTTTGGGATTTGGGATTGGGGTTCAGGACTGGGATCTGGGATGGCCACAGGAATGGGGAGGGGGTCGGGTGTCCCACAGGGAATGGGCAAAGTGCCGGGGTGCCCTGGGGTGCCCAGGACCGGCCCTGCTGGCCAGACTGAGCTCGGTTATTCATTAACAGATCCAAGCTGATCCCGGTGCCCCCGGAGCCGGGGCCATCCCGGGGTGCCCCTGCACACTGTCCCATCTCTGGGAAGGGCCAGGACTCCAGGGACCCCTACTTTGGGGCACATGCCAGCCTTGGGGCCACCCTGGGGTCATTCCTGGGATGGGTTTACCTGAGGGTTTCCAGCATTCAGGATCGTCCCAGGGTTCAGGGTCCCGCCTGGGATTTGGGGTTCCTGTGGGAGCTTTAGGGTCCTCTCAGGGGTTGGTGTTTGGGGGGTTCAGGGTCTCCCCCAGCATTTGGGGTCACTCCTGGGGTTCGGGGTCTCACTGGGGGCTGTATTCCCTGGGAGTCTGTGGGGTCTGGGAGTCACTCCAGAGGTCCGGATGCCACTGGGGGGGGTCCAGGCCCTGCCATGCCACGCCCTACCACGCCCTGCCACCCCCGTTCCCCCAGGAGGACCCTTCGGGGACCTTTGTGCAGCTCCGCCTGGGCCTGGCACAGACCACGTGTCGGAAGCGAGCGCCACAGCGGCACTGCCGAGTGCTGGAGAGCCGGGTGAGGCACCTGGGGACTGTCCTGGGCTGTCCCTCCTCCCTGGGGCACGTGGGGTGTCCCTCCTCCCCTGAGGCACATGGGGTGTCCCTTTTCCCTTGGGGCACGTGGGGTGTCCCTCCTCCCTGGGGCACATGGGGTGTCCCTTTTTCCTTGGGGTATGTGGGGTGTCCCTTTTCCCTTGGGGCACATGGGCTGTCCCTCCTCCCCAGGGCCACATCCCAGAGTGTTCCCATCTCCCTTGGGCACATCCTGGAGTGGTGTCCCCTCCCCCAGGACACTTTCCAAGCTGTCCCTCTCCTTTGGGCCACGTCCCCACTCCTTTGGGGCATATCCTGGGGTATTCCCTATCCTTTGTGGCACATCCCCCCATAGGGCCCTATGCCTGGGTGTCCCCCATCCCTTGGGACCCATCTCTAGGTGTCCCCCATCCCTTGGGGCCCATCCCTGGGTGTCCCCCATCCCTTGAGCCCATTCCTGGGTGTCCCCTCTCCCTTGGGGCCCATCCCTGAATGTCCCCCCACCCTTGTGGCCCATTCCTGGGTGTCCCCCATCCCTTGGGGCCATCCCAGGGGTCCCCCAGCCCCTCAGCCTCCTGCAGACCCGCTGTCCCCCCCCTGCTGCTGTGGGTGGGACAGAGGGGACAGTGGTCGGTGCCAGAGGGTCCCCAGGGCTCCCAGGGGTGACATGCCACCGTGTCCCCAGCGGAAGCCGATCTGCCTGGCCTGCTACAAGTTTGACACCGGCGACGTCCCCAAGGTGCTGGACAAGTACCACAACTGCGGCCCCAGCCACCACCTGGCGGCCAAGGTGAGGTGTCCCCAGTGCCCCCCGGTGTCCCCCGCCGTGTACCCAGCCGGTGCCAGCCCCTGTGTGCCCGCAGGAGATCCGGCAGCGGGACGAGGCCGAGTGCCGGGCGGTGGAGGAGGCGGGCAGAGGGGGGGACACGCCGTACCTGCCCGGGATGTTCGCCTTCTCCCGGGGGCTGCCAGCCTAGGTGGGTACAGGGACAGGGGACAGGGGGCACAGGGACCCCGTCACAGCCCCTCTCTGTCCCCTGGGCATAGGTGGGTATGGGGACAGGGGACAGGGGGCGAAGGGACCCCGTCACAGCCCCTCTGTGTCCCCTGGGCATAGGTGGGTACGGGGGGGACAGGGGACACAGGGACCCCATCACAGCCTCTCTGTCCCCTGGGCATAGGTGGGTATGGGGACAGGGGACAGGGGACACTGGGACCCCGTCACAGCCCCTCTGTGTCCCCTGGGCCTAGGTGGGTATGGGGGGACAGGGAACAGGGGACATAGGGACCCCATCACAGCCCACTCCATGTCCCCTGGGCATAGGTGGGTATGGGGACAGGGGACAGGGGACACAGGGACCCCGTCACAGCCGCCTCTGTGTCCCCTGGGCCTAGGTGGGTACGGGGACAGGGGGCACTGGGACCCCGTCACAGCCCCCTCTGTGTCCCCTGGGCCTAGGTGGGTACAGGGCACCCTGGGACAGGGGACACAGGGACCCCACCACAGCTTCTCCGTGTCCCCTGGGCATAGGTGGGTATGGGGGACAGGGGACACAGGGACCCCGTCACAGCCCCTCCGTGTCCCCTGGGCATAGGTGGATACGGGACACCCAGGGACAGGGGACACAGGGACCCCATCACAGCCCCCTCTGTGTCCCCTTTCCAGGCACCACGGCACCGGTGGACGCTGCCATGGCCTGCCCCGCTTGTCACCCCCCAGCCCCCTGTGACCAAGGAGGGTCCTGGACGTGTCCCCCCCTCCTGCCTGTCCCCTGTCCCCAATAAACCCAGTGCTGGCTCCGCTCTCACGGCTCTTATTCCCACCTGGCACCGCCCATGTCACCCCCCGTTGTCCCCAGGGGTGAGATGGGGACACTGTGGGTGGGCAGTGGGTTCCATGTCACCACTGCCTGCGTCACCTCTTGTCCCCAGGGCTGAAAGACACGGACACGATGGGTGAGAGACCCCTGAGGCAGCAGGACAGAAGGACACTGGAGGGTGGGACATGTTTAATGCACAGTGCCACCACGTCCCCTGTCCCCGAGATGTCCCCCAGCCGAGGCTGGGCTCCCCACGGCTGCTCTGCTGCTCCCTGGGGACCCTCTGCTGGGCTGGGGTGGCTCTGGGGGTGCCCCAGCTCCAGTGTGGGGGTCCCACAGCTCACAGGAGGAAGGAGACAGGCTTGTGGTGGCTCTGGGGGTCTCAGGGTGACAGTGTGGGCTCTGGGGGCTTTCCTGGATCCATTTCTGGGCTCCCACGGATAAGGAAATGAACTTGGGCAGGGCTGAGGGGCTCCTCGACCTGGTTTTGGGGTCTCACACTTCAGAAGATGAGGGAGCTAGACTTGTGATGGCTCTGGGGGTATCCCAGCCCTGGCTTTGGGGTCCCACAGCTCAGGCTGTTGTGGCTCTGGGGGTTCTCCTGGCCCCGTTTTGGGGTCCTATGGCTCAGATGATGGTGGCTATGGGCTGTGGTGACTTTGGGCGTTCTCCTAGCCCCGTTTTTGTGGTCCTGTGGCACAGATGATGGTGGCTCTGGGCTGTGGTGGCTCTGGGGGCTCTCCATTCCCATCTTTGAGGGTTCTCCATTGCCATCTTTGGGTGTTCTCCATTCCCATCTTTGGGGGCTCTCCATTCCCATCTTTGGAGGTTCTCCATGCCCATCTTTGGGGGTTCTCCATTCCCATCTTTGGGGGCTCTCCATTCCCATCTTTGAGGGTTCTCCATTCCCATCTTTGGAGGTTCTCCATTCCCATCTTTGGGTGTTGTCCATTCCCATCTTTGGGGGCTCTCCATTCCCATCTTTGGGTGTTGTCCATTCCCATCTTTGGGCGTTCTCCATTCCCATCTTTGGGTGTTGTCCGTTCCCATCTTTGGAGGTTCTCCATTCCCATCTTTGGGTGTTGTCCGTTCCCATCTTTGGGTGTTGTCCATTCCCATCTTTGGGGGCTCTCCATTCCCATCTTTGGGCGTTCTCCATTCCCATCTTTGGGTGTTCTCCATTCCCCTCTTTGGAGGTTCTCCATTCCCATCTTTGGGCGTTCTCCATTCCCATCTTTGGGCGTTCTCCATTCCCATCTTTGGAGGTTCTCCATTCCCATCTTTGGGGGCTCTCCATTCCCATCTTTGGAGGTTCTCCATTCCCCTCTTTGGAGGTTCTCCATTCCCATCTTTGGGGGTTCTCCATTGCCACCTTTGGGCTCCCACAGCTCAGCCAACGCCATCTCCAGCCCACGTGTCCCCGCGGCGCTCAGAACCCGAAGTCCCCGTGCTGCCGGCGGCCGAGCGCGCGCTGTGCCTGCGCGATGGAGTCGTCGGCGCGGCGGCCGAGCTCGCGGCACTCGCGCAGGGCCTGGCCCAGCTGCCGCGTGGCCTCCTCCAGCACGGGGCTGCGCCGCGCCGGCCGCGCCTCCCAGAAGCCAGCGCGCACCCAGGGCTGCGGGGGCTCCGCGGGCGCGGCCGCGGGCGCGTCCTCCCCGTCCAGGGCCGCGTCCAGCTCGCGGCACAGGCGGAACAGCTCGCTGCCGCGGCCCGCCACGCGCTGCCCGTCGATGGCCTTGAGGCCGGGCAGCATGGCGGCCAGCGCGGCGCGGTAGGCCGGGGCGGCGCACAGCGGGTTGGCCAGGCCGCCGCGCGGGTCCCGCAGGCGCAGGCTCTCCAGGTGCCGCAGGCCCTGCAGGCAGCGCAGCTGGCGCAGGCTGCGCAGGCGGTTGCCGGCCAGGTTGAGCTGGCGCAGGCTGCGGCAGCCCCGCAGCGGCTCCACGCTGGCCACGCGGTTGGCGGCCAGGTTGAGCACGGCCAGGGCGCGCAGCGCGGCCAGCGGCGCCAGCCCCGCGATGGCGTTGCCCGACAGGTCCAGCCACTCCAGGTTGGAGCAGTCGGCCAGGCAGCCCAGGTGGGCGATGCCGCGGCCGCGCAGCCGCAGCAGCAGGATGGACTCCAGGGAGAACTCGCCCGTCGTGGCCTTGAGCAGCGCCGGCGTCACCCGCACCCCAGAGCCTTCGTCCTCCTCCTCCTCCTCCTCCTCCGATGCCTCCTCCTCCTCTGATGGCTCCGACACCTCCGGCTCCTCTGACGCCTCCTCCCCGTGCCCCTCCATCCCTGCGGGGAGGTCCTGGGGGAACAGCGGGGCTGGGGTGGCACCGGGGATCCCCCGGGGTGGCCTTGGGATGCCCTGGGGTGTGGGGACACATGTGGTGTGCGAGGGGGGCACAGGGACACACATGGGGCACGTCTGGGGGTGTCACCTTCTCCTCCCCGCACCCCTCCATCCCCATAGTGGGGTCCTGAGCAGGGAAAGGGGCTGAGGATGGCACTGGGGAATGGCTCTGGATGGACACGCTGCTGTGTCCTGGGGTGTGGGGACACTTGTGGGAATCTGTGCAGGAATTGGGGTGCAGAGTCATATGTGGGAAACATCTAGGGGTGTCTTGTGGGTGTGGGGACACATGTAGGACCCAAAGGCCACTGGTGTGGTCAGGAGACACACGGGGGTCATACCTGAGGTGAACCTGGGGCACAGGGACAGCTCCAGAGCCCACGGGGAGCCCCCACACCCCAAGCGGCCCTCACCCCAACACCCCTCAGACCCACCGTGTTCCATCCCCCGGTGCCCCCAGGCCTCCCCATTCCCCCGTCGGTGCCCCCGTTACCCCCCCAGCGCTCCCGCACCCAGCCCCCGACCTCACCGACCCCCCCGTTCCCTCCCCCACTGCTCCCAGACCCTTTTGTGGTTCCCCCGTGACCCCCCCCGAGCCCCTCCATTCCACCCGCCCCTCTCCGCCCTCCCGGTGCCCCCCAGGTCCCCCCAGATTCCCCAAATTCCCGCTCCCCCCCCGTCCTCCCCCCCCGCTCTCACCGCACAGCGGCTCCCAGCGGCCCCCGAGGCCCCGCCCCCCGTTGCCATGGGGACTAAACCCCGCCCCCGTTGCCATAGGGGCGAGGTCCCGCCCACCGCGAGGCCACACCGCCTGTCTCCCCCCTTGATTGACCACACCCCCTTCCTCCAGGCCCCGCCCCCCGCTGCCCCCGGCCCGTGCGCAGGGCCCGCGATCCCGCAGAATTCCATAAAAACGCTTTATTGGCACTGCGGGACACCCCCGCTGCCCCCTGCCCGCAATGGGGACACCCCTCCCGCAGAATTCCATAAAAACGCTTTATTGGCACTGCGGGACATCCCCGCTGCCCCCTGCCCGCAATGGGGACACCCCTCCCGCAGAATTCCATACAAACGGCTTTACTGGTACTGCGGGACATCCCCGCTGCCCCCTGCCCGCAATGGGGACACCCCTCCACCCCTCCCGACCCCGCCCTGGGGTCCCCCCGGGTCCCTCTCACCGGGGGCTTTCCAGCGCCACCGGCCACCACACTCCAGGGCTGCTCCTGCGCCGCTGCCGGTGGCGGAACGGGCCGGGATCCTGTGGGATCCTATGGGATGCTGTGAGATCCCCCTGCCGGGGCCCCTGGCACATCCCGGTGCTCAGGATGTGGCACCGGCGCATTCGGGCACCTTCAGGGCTGAGGGGTCACCACCGGCACTGCTGTGGGCACTGGCACAGCCCGGCACAGCCCGGCACAGGGTGCCAAGGATGCAGCAGTGGCAGCCACTGGAGAACCCGGCACACCCCAGTGCTCAGGATGTGCCACTGGAGAACCTGGCACACCCCAGTGTTCAGGACGTGCCACTGGAGAACCCGGCACACCCCAGTGCTCAGGATGTGCCACTGGGGAACCTGGCACACCCCAGTGCTCAGGATGTGCCACTGGGGAACCTGGCACACCCCAGTGCTCAGGATGTGCCACTGGAGAACGCGGCACACCCCAGTGCTCAGGATGTGCCACTGGCAGCCATTGGGTCCCCTGGCACATCCACAGCAGCCATCAGGGACCATGGCACCTCCCAGCACCTCCTGACACGGCCGTGCCAGGGATTCACCATTGGCAACCACCAGAGCCCCTGGCACCTCCAGGCGTTCAGGGACAGAGGGTCGGGGGCTCTGGCCAGCCCAGCTGGGACCCAGTGACACCGGTGCCAGTGGCAGCGGTGGCTGTGGCCATCCCTGCCCCAGCGGTGCCCGTGCCCGTCCCTGTGCCCGTGCCGGTGCCGTGGGTGCGCTCGTGGCGCTCCAGGTGCGTTTTGCGGGTGAAGCCGCGGCCGCAGCGGGCGCAGTGGTGGGGCCGCAGCCCCGTGTGCACGGCCTGGTGCCGGCCCAGGTTGGTCTTGGAGCTGAAGCGGCGGCCGCAGCGGGCGCAGGCGTGGGGCCGCGTGCCCGAGTGCACCAGCAGGTGCCGCGCCAGGTGCGCCTTGCGCCCGAAGCCGCGCCCGCACTGGGGGCACGTGAAGGGGCGCTGGGCAGGGGGCACCTGCGGGGGGTCCTGGGCACAGCCCTGGCCGCTTTTGGCACCGGGCACCTGCAGCCGGGGCTGGTGGTCCTGGGCACCGGGCACCTGCAGCCGGGGCTGGTGGTCCTGGGCACCGGGCACCTGTGGCTGGGGCTGCAGGAGGGGCGGGGTGTCCTGGGCGCAGCCGTGGCTGCCGTTGGCACCGGGCACCTGTGACAAGAGCTGAGGGTCCTGCACGAAGGGGGGCTCGGCCGTGGGCACCTGCGGGGGGTGCTGGGGGTCCTGGGCTGGGGGCTCCTGTGGGGGCTGCAGGGGGTGCTGGGGGTCCTGGGCACAGCCGAGGGCTTGGCTCTCCAGGTGCTGCCACAGCTGCGACGACAAGTTCTGCTTCCAGGGGATGCCCGTCCCACACTGGGGGCAAATCAGCAGATTCTCCTCGGCAGGGCCGTCCCTGTCCCCGTCCCGGTGCTCATCCAGGTGTCCATTCCCAGCTCCCAGCACCGCTCCCGTGTGCAGCCCCAGGTGCGGCGCCGGGCTCTGCTTCCAGGTGAGGCTCATCTCACACCCCGGGCAGGGCAGCGGCTTCTCCTCGGCAGGGCCGTGCCCATCTCCGTGCCCCGGGGCGGGGTCCCCGTGCAGGCGCAGGTGGCGCAGGAGGTGCTGGCGGTGGGCGAAGCGGCGGGCGCAGCGCGGGCAGGGGTGCGGCCGCTCTCCGGTGTGCGTGCGCAGGTGCCGGTCCAGGTGCGTTTTCTTGCGGAAGCGGCGGGCGCAGCGCGGGCAGGGGTAGGGCCGCTCGCCGGTGTGCGTGCGCAGGTGCGAGCGCAGGTGGATGCGCTGGCGGAAGCGGCGGCCGCAGTGCGGGCACGGGAAGGGCCGCTCGCCCGTGTGCACCCGCAGGTGCCGCGTCAGGTGCGCCTTCTTGCCGAAAGCCTTCCCGCACTGCGGGCAGCAGAAGGGCCGCGGGCCGGGCTGCGAGCGGCGCCCGCACCCGCCGGCGCTGGGGCTCAATCCCACGCCCGTGCCCGTGCCCACCCCGAAGCCGATCCCGATGCCGTCCAGGCGCGGCCCCAGCCCCCAGGCCGGCAGCACCCCGTACCCCAGCTCCTCCGGGCACGGCTCCTCCGCCTTGCAGGCACCGGCGATCCCCGGGGACCCGGCGGGCTCGGCGGCGAAGGCGCCGGGAAGGGGCGGCGGCGTCAGCGGGGCCCCGGTTCCGGCTGCGGCCGCCCAGGCCTCGGCCTCATCCTCCTCCTCCTCCACCTTCACCTTCCGCACCAGCCACTGCCCTGCAGGCACACGGGAGGGGACGTGCCAACGCCAGGGTGTCCCGGTACAGCCACCGGGACACGGGAGCTGTCACCCAAGGACGTGGAGCTGCCACTGGCACCGGGCACGGTGACCATCAAGGCCAACGGCACCGGGGACGTGGTGACAGTCACTTCAAGGACCTGGCACAGTCCCTGGCCCTGGGGACATGGTGACCATCCCCCAAGGACCCAGCACTGCCACCAGGCCCAGGACAGGGTGACAGTGACCCTGTGGCCCCAGCGCTCCCGGGACAGGCCTGGCACTGCCGCTGTGACCGTCCCTCACCTGAGTCGTGGAGCTCTGGCTCCCCTGGATCATCCCTGTCATCCTCGGGGGTCACCTCCGCCTTGGGGACCACCAGCCATTCTGGGGGGACAAAGAGGCACAGACAGGTCCCTCCCCGGCTCAGGGGGGCCCCGAGTACCCCGGGACCCCACGGGCCCCCCCGAGACCCCCCGGAATCCCCCAGTGCCCACCTGAGCCGGTGCATCCCGGTGCTTCCATCTCCTCCTGCTCCGTCCTGGCCACGGCGGGACCTGCGGGGTGGGGCACGGGGTGAGCCCCCCCAGACCCGAGCTCGGGACCCCCTGCCCAGCGGGGGGTTCGGGATCCCCGCGACCCCCGGGCACGGTGGGGGCGGACCCTCTCCTGCCTGCTGGGTCCGGGGGGGTCTGCAAGGGTTCGGGGGCAATCCGGGGGGGTTCAGGGGGGTCAGGCAGGGCTCGCAGGGATCCGGGGGAGTCTCGTGGGATTCCCTGGGGCTCTGGGGTGTTCCGCGGGGTTCCCGTGGAGTGGCGTCCCCGTCCTGGTCCCTAGGAGCTCACGGCCACCCCACCGCCATTCTCCGTCCGCCCTGGGCCCCCCGGTACCCCCTCCCAAGCCCTTTCCGCACTCCCAGCCCCCTCAGTCCCCCTTGGTCGCCCCCCAAGCCGTTTTTGTTCCCCGCTGTCCCCTCCGTGCCCCCTTCCCGTCCCCGCCCTCCCATCCTGCCCCTCCCCGCCGCTCCGCCCGCCCTTCCTGCCCCTCCCGAGCCCGCTCCCGGTGGCGATCCCGGTGGCGAACCCGCTCCGGTCCCGGTCCCGCCCGTACCCGCGGCCTCGGGGCTGCCCCGGCCCCGCCGCCGCCGCCGCCGCCGCCGCGCCCCGCCCCCCGCGGTGGCCGCCGGTCCCCCCGCCCCGCCGGGACCGCCCCCCCCGTGTCCGCACCCCCGGGCTCCCCCCCGTGTGTCCCCGTGTGTCCCCGTGTCCTCCCCCCTGCGCTGTACCGCGTGTCCCCCGGGGAGGCGACACGGACAGGGACACCCCTGGGTCGGGGACAGCATGGGGGGGGCATGGGGACACAGCGGGGACATGGACAGGGACACGAGGGGGACACGGGGGGGACACGGACAGGGACACGAGGGGGATACGGGAACATACATAGGGGGGACACGGACAGGGACACAGCGGGGACATGGACAGGGACACAGCGGGGACATGGACAGGGACACGGGACAGGGACACGAGGGGGACACGGACAGGGACACGGGACAGGGACACGAGGGGGACACGGACAGGGACACAGCGGGGACATGGACAGGGACACGGGGGGGACACGGGAACATACATAGGGGGGACATGGACAGGGACACGGGGGGGACACGGACAGGGACACGGCTGGGTCGGGGACAGCATGGGGACAGCATGGGGACACGGGCAGGGACACAGCGGGGACATGGGACAGGGACACGGGGGGGACACGGGAAGGGACAGGAGGACACCGGGGGACTTGGGGACACTCAGGGAGGCATGGGGAGAACAATGGGCAAGGACACGGGATAGAAAAGGGGACATGGAGGGCACGGGGGGGGACACACGGAGGGCATGGGGGGGACACGGGGGGGACACAGAGGACACTGTGGGGGGGGACATTGGAGAACACAGGACCGGGCTGTGGGGGGACATGCGGCTGGGAGGACACAGGGGACATGAGGGGACACCGGACAGGATCGTGGGGGCACGGAGGGGTACAGGGACACAAACAGGACACAAGGGGACACGCGACAGGGACGGGGGGACACGGGGGGCTGATCATGACCAGGACCCGCTGCCCTGCCACATCCGTGTCCCTGTGCCCCGTGCCGGATCCCGGATGTCCCGCGCCATTGCCTTCTCCCAGGAAACAGGGAGATGTCACCCTGGTGTCACCATGCCCCCCCAGCCGCCAGCTGTGCCCAATCGGCTTCACCGCAGCTGGTGGCACTTCTGGGGACTTCCCATAAATCCCGGAGCTGCCGGGCAGTGCCAGAGCTGGGGCCGGTGAGTGGCGCTGGGGTGGGTGACATTGGGGTGACCCCCCGGGACCCCTGGCCGTGAGGACACCCGGGAATTGTGACAATGGGGGCACCTGGATCCCACTTTTCCAGGGACACCAGATCGGACATGGCCGCGGTGGCGGGGCCGGGGGTCACCAGGGGAGTGGCGGCCATCGCCGCACTGTGGGTGACAGCCGTGGGGGCAGCCACGGGGTGAGGAACGGGAACGGGGATGGGAATGGGAATGGGAGTGGGAATGGGAATGGGGATGGGAATGGGGAATGGGAATGGGAATGGGGAACGGGAACTGGGAATGAGGACTGGGAACTGGGAATTGGGAACTGAGAATGGGTTTGGGAGCTGGGAAAGAGAACTGGGAATTGGGGCTGCACAATAGAGATCAGGGCCTGGTACTGGAAATGGGGACTAGGAGGTGGGAATGGATGGCAGGATCCGGGATGGGAGCCGGGATGGGAGCTGGGATGGGAGCTGGGATGGGAACAGGGTGGGAGCTGGGATGGGAGCTGGGAAAGAGAACTGGGATGGAGCTGGGTGGGAGCTGGGGCGGGTGCCAGAAGCCAGGGTGGATCCCTGCTGGGTGCCTGCATGGAGGCTGGGAGCTGGGATGTGTGCCCAGAGTGGGGATGGATGGGGGGTGCCAGATGGGAGCTGGGCTGGAGCTGGGATTGTGCTGGGTGCTGGTGGATCCCAGGTGGATCCCAGGAGGATCCTGGATGGATCCCGGGTGGATCCCAGCAGATCCCGGGTGGATCCCAGCGGTTCCTGGGTGGATCCCGGGTGGATCCCAGTGGATCCCAGGCGGATCCCGGGTGGATCCCAGCGGATCCTGGGTGGATCCTGGGTGGATCCCGGCGGATCCCGGGCGGATCCCGGGCGGATCCCGGGCGGATCCCGGCGGATCCCGTGGCTGCCCGCAGGCGCTGGTGCGAGCGGACGGTGCTGGTGACGGAGCAGGAGGAGGTGACGCCGCGGCGCGAGGCCGCGGTGCCGTGCCCCAGTTTGTACCAGTACAGCCTGGCCGGGTGGCGCCTGGACCAGGACCGCACACGCCGGGACCGCGGGAACTCCCCCGGGGACACCGGCACCGAGCCCGGCCTCTGCTACATCTACCGGTGAGCCGGGGGGGGGCGGTGTGGCACCGGGTGGCACCGGGGGACACTGGGTGACACCGGGGTGTCCCCACAGCCCTCCGGAGATGCAGCCGGTGGCCCGGAACCGCACGGAGCGCGGCTGCTGTCCCGGCTGGAGCGGCGCCCGCTGCACCGAGGGTCAGTGAGGGGGGACACGGGGACACCCGGGGACATCCCTGCAGTGCCATTCCCAGCGGGAGCTGGGATGGGCATCACTCCCACCGTGTCATTCCCAGCGGGAGCTGGGATGGGCGTCACTCCCACTGTGTCATTCCCAGCGGGGGCTGGGATGGGCGTCACTCCCACTGTGTCATTCCCAGCGGGAGCTGGGATGGGCGTCACTCCCACTGTGTCATTCCCAGCGGGGGCTGGGATGGGCGTCACTCCCACCGTGTCATTCCCAGCGGGAGCTGGGATGGGCGTCACTCCCACTGTGTCATTCCCAGTGGGGGCTAGGAGCGGGGCTGGATGCCAGGACGGAAGCTGGGTGCTGGGATGGGAACTGGGAACCAGGATGGAAGTTGGAATGGGAACTGGGAGCTGGGACTGATGCTGGGATGTGATTTGGGAGCTGGAACTGATGCTGGGATGTGATTTGGGAGCTGGGATGGGAACTGGGAGCCAGGATGGGAGCTGGGAGCTGGGATGGGACTTGGAATGGGAACTGGGAGCCGGGACTGGTGCTGGGATGGGAACTGGGAGCTGGGACCGGTGCTGGGATGGGAACTGGGAGCCAGAATGGGAGTTGGGATGAGCGTCACTCCCACAACGTCATTCCCGCTGTGGCACCCTCACTGTGCCATTCCCTCTGGGGGCTGGGACAGGTGCTGGGGTCCGTGCCATCCCCTGTGCCCCTCGGTGTCACCGCTGTCCCCGTCCTGCAGGCCCCGGCTCCCTGGGCCGCTGTTTCAGTGCGTGGCAGTGCCAGGACAGCGCCAGCCACAACGGCAGCGCCATGAGCCGTGCCGAGTGCTGCCGGCAGCCCTGGGGACACAGCTGGCGCCGCGGGGACAGCGGGGGGCCCTGCCTGCCCTGCACCCGCCTGCCCCTGGGCGGGGACGGGGGCTCCCCGCGCCACCGCGGGCCCCCGGCCGCCTGCCAGGCCTGGGCCGGGTCGCGCCTCCGCACCTTCGACGGGCGCCACTTCGCGGTCACCGGGAACTGCCGGTACAGCCTGGCCACCGCCACCGACGGCACCTGGGACGTCACCATCGGCCTGGGACACCCCCGGGTACCGGGGGGCGCGGGGAGGGGCGCTCAGAGTCACCGCCAGCCTGGAATGGGGCTGGGATGGATGGTGGGGACAGGGATGGGGACGGTGCCTGGCGTGTCACCAACACACACACAGACACTGGGAGAGGGGGACAGGATGGGTCACCAGGGCCACTGCTCCCATTCCCAGAGGGGGAATGGGGCTGGGAGCTGAGATGGGTGATGGGGTGGGGCTGGGGTGGGAACTGGCAGCTGGGATGGGAGCTGTAATGGGTTTTGGGGCTGGGATGGGGTTTTGGGGCTGGGATGGGTTTTGGGGCTGGAATGGGTTTTGGGGCTGGGATGAGGTTTTGGGGCTGGGATGGGGTTTTGGGGCTGGGATGGGGTTTTGGGGCTGGAATGGGGTTTTGGGACTGGAATGGGTTTTGTCCCTGGGATGAGTTTGGGACCTGGGATGGGGTTTGGGATGGCACACCCATGGGTCCATCCCTGGTGACTGTGACACACCTGAGTGTCCCAGTGCCACCCCCCCTGCCACAGGAGCTGCACATGACCTTCGGGACAGACACGGTGGTGGCCCAGGGACGGAACGTGTCGGTGAACGGGGCAGCAGTGCCAGAGGGACGCCCCTACCTGCACAAAGGTGAGGTCCCCAAGGTCCCCAAGGCCACTAGGCCGGGGCAGGGTGGGGATGAGCCCCCAGCACCACCAGGAAGCACCAGGACATGGAGATCAACCAGCAGCCACTGGGATCCCTGTCCCCATCCTGTCCCCATCCTGTCCCCATCCTGTCCCCATCCCGCCCCATCCCCTCGTGCAGGGCTCGGTGTCACCTGGCCGGGTGACTGGGTGGCCGTGGCCAGCAGCCTGGGTGTGCGGGTGGCCTGGGACGGGCACCTGGCAGTGACAGTGACAGTGGAGCCCGAGCTGCGCGGTGGCACCTGGGGGCTCTGTGGCACCTACACCGACGACCCTGCAGGTGAGCCCCACGCACCCAGTGCCACCCCCACCCTGCCTGGGTGACACCCCGAGCCCCCACCCTGCCTGTCCCCCCCCAGATGACTTCATGCTCCCTGACGGGGACATCGCCGCCATCGCCGCCGCCTTTGGCAGCGCCTGGAAGGTGCCGGTGGCCGGCACAGAGGTACCCGAGGGGGGGCCAGGGTGACACCCCGTGCCCTCTGGGGGTCCCCGGAGGTCGCCCCCGCGCTGAGGGACCCCCGGCTCAGCCCCCGTGCAGGGACGTGCCCGAGGGCGGCACCAGGTGCGGCCCAGGGGAGGTGGCGGCGGCGGTGGCCACGTGCGGGCGGCTGCTGGCCCAGCCCTTCCGGCAGTGCCACGGCGAGGTCAGCAGCACCAGGGGGGCCTGGGGGGCCCGGGGGGGTCTGGGATGTCCTGGGGGATCTATGAGGTCCCAGGGCTGTCCCGGGAGGTACCGGGGGGCTCCTGGGAGTTCCGGGGGTCCCAGAGTTGTTCTGGGATGTCCTGGGGGCTCCCAGGGACCTCTGGGGGGGTTTGGGAGGGTCCCAGGGGATTCCAGAGAGTCCTGGGGAGTCTGGGAACTTCCCGTGGGGTTTTGCAAGATCCCAGGGGGTCAACGGGGTCAGGAGTCTTGGGGTGTCCTGGGGATTCCAGGAGGTCCTGGGAGGCCTGGGAAATTCCAGGGGGGTTCATCCTCAGGGAGGTCCTGGGCTCTTCTGGGCTGTTCTGGGCTGTTCTGGGGTCTCCTGGGCTCTTCTGGGATGTTCTGGGATGTTCTGGGGTCTTCTAGGGGGTCTTAGAGGATTCTCACTGCTGCTCCGCCCCCAGGTGGACCCCAGCGGGTTCTATGCAGCGTGTGTGGCACTGCTGTGCGGGGACGGGGACCCACTGTCACCTCCCGGTGCCCTGCCCTCCCCCGGTGCCCCGCCGCCCGCCGCCTGTGACACGTTCGCCGCCTACGCCCGGGAGTGCTCCCGCCGCCAGCTCGATGTCCCCTGGCGCCGTCCCGGCTTCTGCGGTAGGAACCGGGGCTGTCCCCTGGCCGCCCCCTCCCCGCGGTGCCGCCGGTGCCAGCGCGGTGTCGCTTGTCCTTAGAGCGCCGCTGCGAGGCCGGGCAGCGCTTCTCGGACTGCGTGTCGCTGTGCCCGGTCACCTGTGTCACCGCGGGCAGCGCCGAGCCGGGCCCCTGCCAGCGCCACTGCCACGGCGGCTGCGAGTGCGGCCCGGGGCTGGCCCGGGATGGGCCGCGCTGCGTCCCCCCGGCCGCCTGCCCCTGCCACCACCGGCGACAGCGCTACGAGCCCGGCCAGAGCATCCGCCAGCGCTGCAACCGCTGGTGGGTGGCGCCGCCGCGGCAGCGATGGGTCCGGGCTGGCGGGCACCCACTGAGGGGCAGCCCCAGGGTCCCCTCTGGCGTGTCCCCCCATCCTGGTGACCTCCATGGTGTCCCGTCACCCCGGGGTCTCTGTAGAGTGTCCCAGGTTCCCCGTGATGTCCCCTACTGTTCCCCGCCTCGTGTCCCCCATCCTGGGGCCGCTCCAGGTGTCCCCCCCAGCCTGGAGTGCCCCGCGGTGTCCCCGCGTTACCCCGGGGTCCCCCGCAGGGCCCTCCCTTCCCTCAGCTCCCCCCCGCCCCCGCTGAGCCGTGTCCCCGGCGTCCCCAGCACGTGCGAGGGTGGCCGCTGGCGCTGCGAGCAGCAGCGGTGCCCGGCCGAGTGCGCGGTGCTGGGGGGACGTCACTTTGTCACCTTCGACCGCCGCCGCTTCTCCCTGCCGGCCACCTGCGCCCACACCCTGGTGGAGGTGAGGGGACACGGGGGACATCGGGGGTGGCCGAGTGGTGACGGGGCGGAGCTCTGGTAGTGGCCATGGTGTTGTGCTGGTGACGGGGAGGTGGCCGCGGTGGCCGCGGTGGCCGTGGGGGTGGCTGGGAGGGTGATGGGGTGGTGGCCGCGGTGGCCGCGGGGTGGCAGGGAGGGTGATGGGGAGGTGGCCGCGGTGGCAGGGCTCTGCCGGGGGTGTCACCGTGTCTCTGTCCCCAGGACTTCGTGGCGGGGCGGCTGCTGATCACAGCCGAGCACGAGCCGTGTGACAGCCACCTGGGCTGTCCCCGCAGCCTCACTGTCACCACCAGCCTCACCACGGCGCGGCTCCACGGCACAGGTGACACACCTGGACTGGACAGGGACCCGGACCGGGACTGGCATTGTCCCCACGCCCTGGCGGTGTTGTGGCAGCCGCCCCAGTGCCTGTCCTCAATGTCCCTGTGGCAGTGGTCTCATCCCCGTGCCCATCCTCCTGTCCCCACGGCAGTGGGTGACATCCCAGTGCCCATTCCCAAGTCTCCGTGGCAGCGGGAGCCACTCCGGTCCCTGTCCCTGTCCCTGATGCTGCCCATCCCCGGGTCCCACCCCGGTGGCCGCCCCATGGTGCCACTGCTGTCGCCCTCAGGGGAGGTGACAGTGGCCGGGCGGGAGGTGACGCTGCCCTTCTCCGGTGCCGGGCTGAGCATCCGCCGCGCGTCCTCGGCCTTCCTGCACCTGCAGCTGCCCGAGGCGCACCTGCTCTGGGGCCTGGGGACCCCCGACACCTTCATCACCCTCCAGCCCGCCATGGCCGGCGCGGTGAGTGGCGCTGCCGGGAGCCGGGCGGTGCTCCAGTGGCATGGAGCCGGGCTGGGATGGGGCTGTGCTGGGATCTGAGATGGAGCCGCTGGGATGGGGCTGTGCTGGGATCTGGGATGGAGCCGCTGGGGTGAGGCTGTGCTGGAATCTGGGATGGAGCCGCTGGGATGGGGCTGTGCTGGGATCTGAGATGGAGCCGCTGGGATGGGGCTGTGCTGGGATCTGGGATGGAGCCGCTGGGATGAGGCTGTGCCCGGCTCTGGGATGAGGCTCTGCCGAGCTGTGCCCTGCTCTGGAATGAGGCTCTGCCGAGCTCTGCCCTGCTCTGGGATGAGGCTCTGCCGAGCTCTGCCGTGCTCCGGGCAGGTGCGGGGGCTCTGCGGGACCTTCAACGGGGACCAGCGCGACGAGTTCACCACGCCGGAGGGGGACGTGGAGCCGGGAGTCGCCGCCTTCGCCAACGCCTTCCGGGCGGCCGGAGCGTGCCCGGCGCTGGCCCCCGGCATTCCCGATCCCTGCGACGGCTTCCCCGGGAGCCGGGAGCGCGCCGAGGCCGCCTGCGCCGTGCTCATGGGGCCGGCCTTCCAGGTGAGCCCGGGCACGGGGGCGGGCGGGGACAGGTGACGCGGAGTGACAGTGTCCCCTCCGGCACAGCCGTGATGGCTGTGACAATGTCCCCTCCGGCACAGCCGTGTCACCGCGCCGTGGACCCGGAGCCGTTCCTGGAGCTGTGCCTCTGGGATGTGTGCTCCTGCCGGGAATGGGAACGGGAACGGGAACGGGAGTGGGAGCGGTGCCTGTGCCCGGCGCTGGGCGCCTACGGCCGGGAATGTGCCCGGGAGGGAACCGAGCTGGAGTGGAGGAACCAGAGCCTCTGCGGTGGGATGGGATAATGGGATTATGGGATAATGGGGTAATGGGATAATGGGGTAATGGGGTAATGGGGTAGTGGGATGGGATGGGATGGGATGGGATGGGATGGGATGGGATGGGATGGGATGGGATGGGATGGGATGGGATGGGATGGGGCTGTAGATGGGATTGGGCTGCAGATGGGATGGGATGGGTTTGGTATTGGGATGGGGAATGGGATCAGTGGGATGGGATGGGTTCGGATTGGGATGGGGAATGGGAATGGGATCAATGGGATGGGGTGGGTTTGGATTGGGATGGGATGGGTTTGGACTGGGATGGGGAATGGCAATGGGATTGATGGGATGGGATGGGTTTGGATTGGGATGGGGAATGGGAATGGGATCGATGGGATGGGATGGGTTTGGATTCGGATGGGGAATGGGAATGGGATCGATGGGATGGGATGGGTTTGGATTGGGATGGGATGGGTTTGGATTGGGATGGGGAATGGCAATGGGATCGATGGGATGGGATGGGTTTGGATTGGGATGGGGTGGGTGTGGATTGGGATGGGGTGGGTTTGGATTGGGATGGGATGGGTTTGGATTGGGATGGGGAATAGGAATGGGATCAATGGGAGGGGATGGGTTTGGATTGGGATGGGATGGGTGTGGATTGGGATGGGGAATGGCAATGGGATCGATGGGATGAGGACGGCATGAGGTGACGTCTTCCCCCCTGGTGACCCCCCTGTCCCCCAGACGAGCCGTGTCCCGGGGGGCAGCAGTACCGGGACTGTGGGGGTCCCTGCGGCCGCTCCTGCTCAGAGCCCCCCGGAGCCAGTGCCTGTCCCCCTCCGGACACCCTGTGCGTGCCCGGCTGCCGCTGTCCCCCGGGGCTGTTGCTGGCCCAGGGCGGGCAGTGTGTGCCCCCTGCCGCCTGCCCGTGTCCCCGCGGCGCCCGCCTGTACCCGCCCGGCGCCCGCATCCACCGCGGCTGCCAGGCCTGGTGAGTCCCGCGGGAATTTAGGGGTCGCGGGGAGGTTCGGGGGGCCGGAGGGTCACCCACAGCACGGGGGTCCCCGGGCAGAATGTGGCGGTGACGGCGACACGTGATGAAAACCCCTCCAGCCCGGTGTGCACCCCGCGGGAAGGAGGGGCTTTTGTCCCGTGTCCCACCGTGGGGACAGCGACGGGGCCGTGGCACAATGGGGGAGCGGGAGGACCCCGGTTAGGGGGTCTCAGTGGGATGTGGGGTCCTGGGGGATGGGGGTGCAGGGCGCCGGTGGGATTTGGGTGCTGGGAGATGAGAATGGGGGTGCAGGGACCCCCGTTGTTGTGTGGGGTTCAGTGGGATTTGGAAGGATGAGGGGTGGGGATGGGGACATTGGGACCACGGCATGGGGGTCTCAGCAGAATGTGGGGGCTGGGGCTTGGGGAACCCCGGTGAGGGGGCTCGGAGGGCTGGAGGGAGCTGGAGGTGGGGCTGGGGACCCCAGTGGGGGGGTTCGGTGGGAGTTGGGGGCTCAGAGGGTTGGAGGGTGCTGGAGGTGGGGCTGGGGACCCCACGGGGGGGGTCGGTGGGATTTGGGTTCTGGCGTTTGGGGCGGGCCGAGGGGTCTCAGGCGGACGGGGTCTCTCCCGCCCCGCAGTGTGTGCGCGGGGGGCTCGTGGCGCTGCGCCCCCGCCCCGTGTCCGCCCGCCCCGCGCTGTCCCCCGGGGCTGCTGCACTCGCCCGGCTCCTGCCTGCGCCGCTGCGACCCCGCCGAGCCCTCCGGCACCTGCGGCGGCCCCGCCGACGGCTGCGTGTGTCCCCCCGGCACCCTGTTCCTGGTGGGTGACACCCGGGGGGCGGGGGCGGTGGGACTCCCCCCGAGCCCCCCTCACCGCCGTCTGGTGGCAGGGCGGGAGCTGCGTGTCACCGGACCGGTGTCCCTGTCACCACGGCGGGCAGCTGTACCCGCCCAACGCCACCATCGCCCGCGACTGCAACACCTGGTGGGACCCCCGCGCACCCCCAGACCCCCGAGACACCCTGGGCCCCCCGCCAGCCGCCGCGGTGGCACCGAGCCTGTCCCCGCAGCGTGTGCCGGGGACAGCGGTGGCACTGCGGGCGCCAGGAGTGCGCGGGGACCTGCGTGGCCACGGGGGACCCGCACTATGTCACCTTCGATGGCCGCGCCTTCACCTTCGCGGGGGACTGCGAGTACCTGCTGGCGCGAGAGGCCACCGGGCTCTTCGCTGTCACCGCCGAGAATGTCCCCTGCGGGGCCAGCGGCGTCACCTGCACCAAGTCCGTGGTGGTGGCCATGGGGAACACCGTGGTGCACATGCTGCGGGGTGAGGGGACACGGGGGACGTGGGGGGACCGCGGTGACATCCTGGCTCGGTCGCGGTGGGGTGGGGGCTGCAGGGGGTGGGGACCTGAGGGGACACGGGGGATGCACGGGAGGTCATGGGGCGCCATGGGGGGACACGGAGGGAGACGGGGAAGTGGCGGGGTGACCACAGTGACAGCCCAGCCCTGCGGCGGCGGGGTGGGGTTTGGGGGCAGAGCATGAGGGGACACGTGGGGGGACACGTGGGGGTGACCCTCGGTGCCGGCCCGGCAGGACGAGAGGTGACAGTGAACGGGGTGGCCGTGAGACCCCCCAAGGTGTTCGGGGGCTCGGGGCTGGCGCTGCAGCGCGCGGGGCTCTTCCTGCTGCTCCTCACGCGCCTGGGGCTGGCCGTGCTCTGGGACGGAGGTGAGACCCGGGGGGACACGGGGGACACGGGGGACACGGGGGACACGGGGGACACGGGGGACACGGGGGGACATGGGGGACACGGGGGACACGGGGGGACACGGGGGGACACGGGGGGACACGGGGGACATGGGGGGACACGGGGGACATGGGGGGACATGGGGGGACACGGGGGGACACGGGGGGACATGGGGGGACACGGGGGGACACGGGGGACATGGGGGACACGGGGGGACACGGGGGACATGGGGGGACACGGGGGGACACGGGGGAACATGGGGGGACACGGGGGGACACGGGGGACACGGGGGACACGGGGGACACGGGGGGACACGGGGAGACACGGGGGTGGCCGTGCTGTGGGACGGAGGTGAGACCCTGGGGGGGACACGAGTGGGGGTCCCCAGTGCTGAGGGGCCGTGGGGGATCCCTGGCGCCGCTGTTGCCAGGGCGGTGTCACCATGGCGAGGTCCCCGGTGCCACCACGCGGGGTCCCCGGTGCCGCACGGGGTTCGCAGCGCTGGTGGCGCCACGGGGGGGTCCCGGGGGGGTCCCGGGGGGTCGCGGGTGCCGTGGGTGCCCCGTGGCAGCCGCGGTGCCCGCAGGGACCCGCGTGTACGTGCGCGTGTCCCCGCGGCTGCGCGGCCGCCTGGCCGGGCTCTGCGGCAACTTCGACGGCGACGCCGAGAACGATTTTGGGAGCCGGGACGGGGCCCTCGAGGCCACCCCCGAGATCTTCGGGGACTCCTGGCGCCTCAGCCCGCTCTGCCCCGAGGCCGACGGCCACCGGCCGCACCCCTGCGAGGTACGGGGACATGGGGGGACGTGGGGGACATGGGGGGACGTGGGGGACATGGAGAGAGGTGGGGAATTGACAGGCGTACACGGGGACTGGATGGGGACACCAGGGGACACGGGGGGACACAGGGGGCACTGGCAGGGAGACACTGGGGATAGACAGGGTGACACAGAAGCTGGCAGGGGGACACAAGGGTTGGCAGGGGGACATTGGGGGTTGCAAAAGGACATGGGGCTGTGATGGTCGAGGTCAGTGAGGGACTCAAACCCCGGACGGGAGGAGGAGGAGGAGGAGGAGCCTTGGTCTGGGCTGAAATCCCCTGGAATTCCCATCCCCGTCACTCCGGGTGTGCCGAGCCCTGCCTGAACCGGGGCAAAGGGGGGACACGGAGCCGGCGGGGGCCCGGCTGGGGACACACGGGGCTCTGACGGGGGCGTCCCCTCCAGGAGAGCCCCCAGCGCTCGGCCTGGGCGCGGGCTCGCTGCGGGGTCCTGCGGCACCAGCTCTTCGCCCCCTGCCACGAGCTGGTGCCGCCCCAGCGCTTCTACGAGTGGTGCCTGTTCGACGCCTGCGGGTGAGTTTGGGGGGCTCGGGGGCTCTCCAGGCCCCAGGGGGGTCCCGGGCCCTGTCCCACGGCGCCTGCCCCAGGTGTGACAGCGGCGGGGACTGCGAGTGCCTGTGCACGGCCCTGGCCGCCTACGCCGAGGAGTGCGGCCGGCGGGGGAGAGCCCTGCGCTGGCGGAGCCAGGGGCTGTGCCGTGAGTGCGGGGGGCCCGGGGCGACCGGGAGCGACCGGCGGTACCGGGGGGTGCCGGGGGACTGGGGGGACCCGGGGGTACGGGGGACACGGGGGGCTGGGGGAGACGGGGGTACCGGGGGTACCAGGGGACTGGGGGGTACGTGGGGTCCAGGGGCGGGCTGGGGTCCCTGCACCCCCATTCTCATCTCCCAGAACCCCAATCCCACACGGGCTGGGGGACGCGGAGGGTCCGGGGGGCACGGGGAGACACGGGGGGGGTCCCATCCTGCCCCTGCACGGGTGGGGCCGGGGCTGTGCCGTGAGTCTGGGGGCGCTCAGGAGAGCACAGGAGGGCCCGGGGACACAGGGGACAGCCCGGGGACAGCCCGGGGACAGCCCGGGGACACGGGGAGGTGCGGGCTGAACCCCCGGTGGGATGTGTCCGGGTTGGGAGCCAGGCAATGGGTCTGGGGGTGCAGGAGCCCCCTTAGGGGCTATAGGGCAGGGGGAGCTGTGGGACTGAGGGGGGGACAAGGGCCCCGCGTGGCGTCCAGGGGGTCCCAGGCTGTGGGGTGTGGGGTCCCAGCCCCCTAACGCCCCCAATCTCCGCAGCCCTGCAGTGCGAGGGGGGACAGGAGTACAGCCCCTGCGGCCCCCCCTGCCCCCCGACCTGCCGCGACCTCGGCCGGGACCCCCCCGAGCTCTGCGGGGCCCTGGGGTGCCTCGAGGGCTGTTTCTGCCCCCCCGGGCGGGTCCTGCACGGTGAGGGGGGGGGCACAGCGCGGGGGGGCTGGGACGGGACGGGAGGGGCTGGGAGGGGCTGGGAGGGGCTGGGGGGGGCTCTGGGGGACGGGAGGGGTTTGGGGGGGCTGGGGCAGGGGGTCCGAGAGGGGCTGGGGGGGCCTGGGGGGCCGCGGTGCCACCCCTGTGCCCCCCCCCCCGCAGAGGGGCTGTGCGTGGAGCCCCCCGCCTGCCCCTGCTTCTGGGACGGCTTCGCCTTCCCGGCCGGGGCCAGCGTGACCCAGGGCTGCAGCAACTGGTGAGGCACGGGGGGACACTGGGGGACACTGGGGGATACTGGGGGACACTGGGGGACACTGGGAGCCCGGGAACGGCGCGCTGGGGGCACCGGGACAGCGAGGTGTGGGACACTGGGACAGCGGGACACCAGGACACCCGGGTGCGGGGACATCGGGACAGCGGGGTGTGGGACACCGAGGTGTGGGGACACAGGGACACCGGGACACCAGGACATGGGGACTGAGATACACCGGGGAATGGGACTTTGGGATCCTGGGTTCCCAGGACGTTGGGACAGCAGGACACGGAGACACTGGGATTTGGGACAGCGTGACACTGGGACACCGGAGTGTGGGGACACGAGGACACCAGGACATGGGGACACAGGCACACCAGGAAAATGGGATTTTGGGATCCTGGGTTCCCAGGACATTGGGACAGCAGGACACGGAGACACTGGGATTTGGGACACCAGGACACCGGGACACTGGCACACCAGGACACCAGGATGTGGTGACACCAGGACACTGGGACACCAGGACATGGGGACACAATGACACCAGGGAAATGGGATATCGGGGTACGGGGATCCCAGGATATTTGGACAGCAGGACACAGAGACTGGGATTTGGGACACCGGGACCGCAGGACACCGGGACAGCCGGACACTGGCACTGGGACAGGGGGACACCGGGACAGCTGGACACTGGCACTGGGACAGGGGGACACCGGGACAGCTGGACACTGGCACTGGGACAGGGGGACACTGGGACAGCTGGACACTGGCACTGGGACAGGGGGACACCGGGACAGCCGGACACTGGCACTGGAACAGGGGGACACCGGGACACCGGGGCACTGGGGGGGGACACCGGGACACGGATCCCCGGCCCCCTGTGAGCTCCGTCTGCCTCCCCCCAGCACGTGCCTGGCGGGGCGCTGGCAGTGCCCCCCGAGCCCGGCCCCGTGCCCCGCCGCGCCCGGCTGTGCCCCGTGGGAGTTCCGCTGCCGGGCCGGGGAGCTCTGCGTGCCCGGGGCCTGGCTCTGCGACAACGAGGACGACTGCGGGGACGGCTCGGACGAGCTGTGCGACGCCCCCTGCGCCCCGCAGCAGCCCCGCTGCCCCGGCGGGCGCTGCCTGCCCTGGGGGGCGCGGTGCGACGGCGTCACCCACTGCCCCGACGGCTGGGACGAGGCGGGCTGCGCCCCCCGCGCCTGTGCGCCCCCCGAGTTCGCCTGTGCCGGGGGGCGCTGCCTCCCCCCGGCCCGGGTCTGCGACGGGCGGCTCGATTGTCCCCCCGGGGACCACTCGGACGAGGCGGGTGAGTGAGCAGGGGGGTCGGGGGGTCCTGGGAGTGGAGAGGGGGCTGCAGGGAGCTTGGGGGGTCCTGGGGAAATAGAGAGCCCTGCAGGCTTTGAGGTCTGTGCCCCGCAGTGGGGTCACTGAGCGCCCCAACCCTGGGGGTCTGTGCCCCACAGTGGAATCCCTGAGACCCCCCCCAGCCCTGGGGGTCTGTGCCCCACATTGAGGGTCCCTGAGCCCCCCAGCCCTGTGGGTCTGTGCCCCACATTGAGGGTCCCTGAGCCCCCCAACCCGGGGGTCTGTGCCCCACATTGAGGGTCCCTGAGCCCCCCAGCCCTGGGGGTCTGTGCCCCACATTGAGGGTCCCTGAGCCCCCCAGCCCTGGGGGTCTGTGCCCCACATTGAGGGTCCCTGAGCCCCCCAGCCCTGTGGGTCTGTGCCCCACATTGAGGGTCCCTGAGCCCCCCAGCCCTGTGGGTCTGTGCCCCACATTGAGGGTCCCTGAGCCCCCCAGCCCGGGGGTCTGTGCCCCCCCGCGGCATCTGGAGGTCCCGGGGGTGGCGCTGCTCGGGAGCCCCCCCGGAGCCGAGAGCCGCCCGTGCCCCGGCTGGGGGTGTCGGTGCCCACCCGGGGGTCCCGTCCCCGCAGGCTGCGCCCCCCGGTGCGGCCCGGGGCAGTTCAGGTGCGGGGGGGGCCGCTGTGTCCCCTACCCCCACCGCTGCGACGGCCGCGACGACTGCGGGGACGGCAGCGACGAGAGCGGCTGCGCCTGCCCCGAGGGGCACCTGCCGTGCCCCGGGGGGGGCTGCCAGCCCCCCGCCGCCATCTGCGACGGCCGCCGCCACTGCGCCGACGGCGCCGACGAGGCCAACTGCCCCGGTGAGGGGGACACCAGCTCGGGAACCCCGCCTGGGACCCCCGGCCCCTCTGCCCTGGGACCACCCCACCCACGACCCCCACCCGGGACCCTCCACCCTGGGAACCCCTCCTGGGACCCCCCGCCCCATCTGCCCTGAGACCACCCCCCCTGGGACCGCCCCATCTGCCCCGCGAGGGTCCCGACCCAGGGACTGCGCCCGCCCCCCGGACCCCCTACCCGGCATCGCCGCCTTTGGGGACCCCTCCCCGTGACCTCCTCCCCCGGGAGCCCCTCTGGGACCCCCGCCCACCCTGGGACCTCCCTTTGGTCACCGCTCCCCACGGCGGCGGTGTCACCGCTGTCCCCGTGTCCCCAGCGCGGGCCACCTGCGCCCCCGGCACCGTCCCCTGCCCCGACGGCTCCTGCGTGGCGGAGGTCGCCGTGTGCGACGGCGCTCGCGACTGTCGCGACGGCTGGGACGAGAGCCCGGCGGGGTGTGCGGTGGCGCTGCCCCCCGCGCCGCTGTCACCTGTCACCGCTGTCACCGCCTCTGTCACCGCTGTCACCGCCGACACCGTCATCGCGGTCACCAGCGCCATCGGCACCGTCGCTGTCAGCGACACTGACGCTATCGCCGACACCACCCCCGACACCGCTACTGTCACCGCCGCTGTCACCGATGCTGTCACCAACACTGTCATTGTCACCGCCGCTGTCCCCGGCCCCGCCACCGCCTCGGCAGCGCCCTGCCCGCCCCGGTCCCTGCGCTGCGACAGCGGCGGCTGCGTCCCGCGGGGGTGGCGCTGCGATGGCGACAGCGACTGTCCCGATGGCAGCGACGAGGGAGGCTGCGACCCCCCGTGCGCCCCCGGCCACCTGCCCTGCGACCCCCCCTGCGAGCCCGGGCGCGGCCCCTGCGCCCCCGCCTGCGTCCCCCCTCGCCGCCTCTGCGACGGCGTCCCCGACTGTCGCGACAGCACCGACGAGAGCCCCCGGCTGTGCGGTGAGACCCCGGGGACATCTGCGGGGGGAGGTCTGGGAGTGTCCCCCGTGTCACCTCCTGGGGACCCCAGGGCTGAGGGGCGCGATCGCCGGGGTCCCCTGGGGAGGGAGCGGGAAACTCGGAGGGAGGAGATGCCACCAGAGAGAGACCCCCAGCGTCCCCTCGGTCCCCTGGGGACCCCTGAGAGCCCTCGTGCCCCCCCAGAGCCCCCCGGCCCCGGGAGCAGCCCGCGGGGTCCCTGCGCCGAGTTCGACTGCGGGGACGGGGAATGTGTCACCTTCCAGCAGGTAACGGGGACCGCGGGCACCGCCACCGCCCGGGCCACCGCGGGGCCCTCCCGGGGCTGCCATGGAGCCCCCGATCGATCCCTCCTGCTGTCACCCCGTGCCCCAGCGCGTCCCCGACCCCTTTCCGGGGACACCAAGGTGTCCCCTGCCCCCTCCCGGTGTCACCCCCGTGTTCCCTCCATCGTTCCCGCCATGTCCCCCAATCCCTCCTAGCGCCACCCCCGCTGTCCCCTGGCCCGTCCCGACCGCCCCTCCCGGTGTCCCTGACTCCCCTCACCCCCTCCCGGGGTCACCCCGGTGTCCCGGAGTCCCATGAGCCCCTTCCAGCGCCACTTGAGTGTCCCGCAGCTCCCTCCCGGTGTCACCCCTGTGTCCCCCCCGTGTCCCCAGTGTCCCCTCCCGCCGCGCTGTCCCCGCAGGTGTGTGACGGGCTGCGGGACTGCGCCTCGGCTGGCGACGAGCGGGGCTGCGGCCTCTGGGGGCCCTGGGGTCCCTGGGGGTCCTGCAGCCGCCCCTGCGGGCCCGGGGAGCAGCGCCGCGCCCGGGGCTGTCACCAGCGCCACCCGGGGCTGCTGCGGGGCTGCCGGGGACCCCGCGAGCAGGAGAGACCCTGCTTCCATCGGGCCTGCCCGGGTGAGCGGGGACCCCGGGGCAGCCCGGAGGCTTTGGGGGGACCCCAGGGCAGCCCGGAGGCTTTGGGGGACCGGGGGGTGGCTGTGTCCCGGGGCAGGGGCAGCCCTGACACTGCCACGGGTGCCCAGGGAAGTGAGGGGGGGCCTGGGGGGACCCCGGGGCAGTTGGGGGTCTCATGGGGCACCTGAGGGATTTGGGGGGTCCCGACGGTTCAGGCTGCGCGGCGGGGATGGTTTGGGGACCCCACAGTCCCAGAGGGGTCCGGGGGGGTCTGAGGCCCCCTTAACTCGCCCCCCCCCGCAGTGGACGGCGCGTGGGGCCCGTGGGGACCCTGGTCCGAGTGCCCGGGGGGCTGCGGGGGGGTCCGGCTGCGCACCAGGGGGTGCCAGCCCCCCCAGAACGGCGGCCGCGCCTGCGAGGAGCTGCGCGGGGGGAGCCCCGGAGCGCTGGAGATGGGTGGGTCCGGGGGGGGGGGGCGCAGGGGGGCTCGGGGGGGGCTGTGGGGCCCCAGGGCAGGGGGGAAGCCCTGGGGCGGGGGGCTCGGAGGAGGGCTCTGGGGCCAATGGGGTGGGGGTCCCGGGGTGTTCCGTGGGACAGATGAGCCCCGCAGAGTGGGGGGCGCTGGGTGGGCGCGGGGTCTCCCCAGGGTGAGGGGCTCCGTGGGACGGGTGGGCCCTGCGGGGACAGGGGGGGCACGGCCGGGTCCCGCCGGGGTGGGGGCTCCCCAGAGCGGGGGGCGTTCTGGGGCTCAGGGGGGCCGGTGGGGCCGCTGCTGTCCGTGCCTGACGCTGCCCCCCAGCCCCCTGTGCCCCGGGGGGCTGCCCCAACGCCTCGGAGTGCGCGGAGGGGCTGCGCCCCCTGCCCTGCGCCCCCTGCCCCGCCTCCTGCGCCGACCTGGCGGCCGCCGTGCCCTGCCCGCGACCCCCGCCCTGCCGCCCAGGTGAGGGGGACACGGGGGGCTCTGGGGGGGCTCCGCGATGCGAGGGGCACCCCTGACCCCCCCCCCCGATACCCGCAGGGTGCTGGTGCCCGGCGGGGCAGGTGCTGGAGGCGCCCGAGGGCGGCGCGGGGCCCGCGGGGTGCGTGCGGCCGCGGCAGTGCCCGTGCCGGGCCGGGGGGCGCCGCTACCCCCCGGGCGCCCCGGTGCCGCTCGGGTGCCGCCTGTGCACCTGCCTCGAGGGGCAGCTGCGACACTGCCCGCCCGCACCCCGGCTGCTCAGGTGGGTCCCGGCGCGCGCCCGTGGGGCCCCCGGTGCCCGCTGTCCCCGCGGTGCCGCCCCGGGCTGCCCGGCCGTGCCGGTGACCCGCTGTCCCCCACAGTGGACTGCGGCTGGTCCTCGTGGTCGCCGTGGGGGCCGTGCGCGGGCGGCTGCGGTGCCCCCGGTGTGCAGTGGTCCTTCCGCAGCCCCTCGAGCCCGGCGCGCCGCGGGGGCCGGCCGCCACTGCCGCGGCATCTACCGCAAGGCGCGACGGTCAGCGGGGCCGGGGGGTGGGCGGGGGGCCCGGGGGGTCCCGCGGGTGTGTGACGGTGCCACCCGCAGGTGCCACACGGCGCCGTGCCCGCGCTGCCGGGAGCGCGGCCGCTGGCGCGTCCCCGGCGAGCGCTGGCGGGGGGAGCCGTGCCAGGTGTGCCAGTGCCAGCCGGCCGGGACCGTGCGCTGCGTCCCCTACTGTCCCCTCCGCGGATGTCCCCAGGTGAGGAGGGGCCGCGGGGCGCGGGCCCAGCCGCGGGCGGCGGTGGCGGTGACGCTGTCGCTGTCCCCAGGGCCAGGCGCTGCGGGAAGGTGACGGCGGCTCCTGCTGCACCTGCGGCCCCGCGGGTGAGTGCGGGGTCCCGGGGGTCCCGAGGGTCCCGGGGGTCCCGGGGGAGGTGACCCCCATCCCCCCGTGCCCCTCACCGCCGCGCCTGTCCCCGCCGCAGGTGACAACGCCACGGCCACCCCGCCCGGGATGACGACAGCGCTGTCCCCAAACGGTGCCGAGGCCCCCGGCAGCCCCGGGTACGAGGGGCACGGTGGAGGGCCGGAATTTGGGGGTCCCCAAAGCGGGGGGGGGTTCCCCGCTGGCCCCGCTCCCTCACCGTGCCCCCTCCAGCCCCACGGCCGGGCCCGAGGGGCCCAGAGGCGCCGAGACACCCCCGGAGCCCCCCAGCGCGGCCGGGGGCACCCCCAGAGCCGCGACCCCGCCCGAGGACACCCCGAGCCCCCCCGAGGGCTCCGCCACCCCCCCCGAGCCGGAGCTGTCCCCATTGGCTCCCACGGGGGTCCCCGCCGCGACCCCCCCAGGTGAGCGGAGCCCGCGAGGAGGGGGGGAAGGGCCCCCCCAGAACGGCCCCCCGGGATTGGGGAGTCCCGGTGGAACGGGGGGGACGGGCCCCGAAACAGCCCCCAGGGCCGGGGGGTTCAAGGGGGGGGAGCAGTGCCGGGTCAGGGGGGGAGCTGCGGGTCCAGCATCGGCAACAGCGAGGCTGGGGGGCTGCGGGGGGGCCCCGAAACACGGGGGGCTGCAGGGGGGGCCCTCCAAACATGGGGGGGCTGCAGGGGGGACCCCAAACACGGGGGGGCTGCAGGGGGGGGCCCAGAACACGGGGGTCACCCTGCCCCCCCCCCGTGTCCCCCAGGCTGTGCCCCCCCGCCCTGGGGGGGGTGGGGGTCCTGCAGCCGCTCCTGCGGGGTGGGGGTCGCTCTGCGGCGCCGGAGGGAGACCCCGCCCGGGGGGGGCTGCGCCCACCCCCCCGACACCGGCACCGGCAACGGCACCGACACCGACACCGACACCGACACCGACACCGACACCCGCGCCTGCTTCCTGCGAGCCTGCCCAGGTACCCCCAAACCTGAGAACCTGCCCCGGTGCCCCCAAACCCGCCCCCCGCACGGGCTGCGACCCCCGGCGGGGCGGGGACCCACGGTAAGAGCGGGACCCTCAGGAGGGCTGGGACCCCCCTTTTGGGTGGGACCCCCTTATGGGCTGGGACCCCCTTTTGGGTGGGACCCCCTTATGGGCTGGGACCCCCGGTAAAGGGTGGGACCCCCCTGTGGGCAGGGATCCCCTTACGGGGTGGGACCCCCGGGCTCTGGGCTCTGCGGGGGTGGGACCGCTCCCCCTTTCCGGGCTGGGCCCCCCCGAGTCTGGGACCCCCATCCCCGGCCGAGGGGGGACCCCCAGGGGCGGGGGGCTCGGGGTCTGCAGTCCCCAAGTGCGGGGGGCTCGCTGCCCACCGGGGGTCCGGAGGGGCCCCAAGGGGGGCGCTGTGGGTCAGGGGGTGGCTGTGGGGGTGCTGACCCCCCTGACCGCCCCATGCCCCCCCAGTCTCGGGCGGGTGGGCGCCCTGGGCTTCCTGGAGCTCCTGCGAGGCCCCGTGCGGGGGGGGGCAGCAGATTCGCCGCCGCAGCTGCAGCGACCCCCCCCCAAAAAACGGGGGGCGTCCGTGCGAGGGGGGGGCGCTGCAGAGCCGGCCCTGCAACCTGCGGCCCTGCGGGGACCCCCCAGGTACGGGGGCACGGGGGGGACACGGGGGGCTGGGGACACCCCTCCAACCCCAACCTTGTTCCCCCGGCCCGAAACGCCACCACCGCCCCTCCCCAAATCCCCCCCTGGACCCCCCGAACCCCCCGTGCTCACCCCCAAGCCCCCTAAAACCCCCTAAGTTCCCCCAACCCCTCCATCCCTGACTGCTCCAATGGCCTCCCCCCTCCCTGCCCCCCAAACCTCCCCGAGCCTCCCTTTCCCCGCTGAGCCCCCCGTGTCTCCCCCAGCCTGCCCCCCCCAGACGCTGCTGGTGCCCCCGGGGGGGTGCGAGGATCTGGGGGTCCCCCCCTGCCCCCCCACCTGCGCGGACCTGAGTGGGAACAGCTCGTGCCCGGGGGGCTGCCAGGAAGGTCGGGGGGGTCTGGGGGACACGGGGGGGGCGTGGGAGGGTCCCGGGAGGGTCTCGGAGGGGCGGCTTGGGTAGGGCTGGGGGGGGCACAGGGGCATTTGGGGGATTTGGGGGGATTTGGGGGATTTGGGGGGACCTGGGAGCTTGGAGGGGCATGGAGGAGGCTTGGGAGGACTTGGGGAGAACTCGGGGGACTGGGAGGAAACTTGGGGAGGGCTTGGGAACTTGGGGGGAGCACGGAGCCGTCCGGGGGCTGGGGGGGATTTAGGGGGCGCTGGGAGGGGTACAGGGGCTGGAGCCCCCCTGAACCGCCCGCACCCCCAGGCTGCCGGTGCCGGCCCGGGCTGGTGCTGCAGGGGAGCGGCTGCATCGAGCCCAGGTACCCCAAAACCCATCTGTACCCCAACCCCCATAACCCAGCCACCTCTGTACCCCAAACCCCACCCGTACCTGACACCTGCTGCACCCCAAACCCATCTGTACCCCAAACCCCATAACCCAGACACCTCTGTACCCCAAACTCCACCCGCATCTGCACCCTGCTACACCCGAAACCCATCTGTACCCCAACCCCCATAACCCAGACACCTCTGTACCCCAAACCTCACCCGTACCTGACACCTGCTGCACCCCAAACCCATCTGTACCCCAAACCCCGGTGCTGGGCGTCCTCAGAAAATGGGGCCCCTGAACATGGTGGGGCTCCCAGGGGCTCCCCAGGATTTGGAGTGATCTTCCTTTTCCCTGCAGCGCCTGCGGGGTCCCTGCGGGGGTGATGGGGGACGCCGGGAATCGGGGCCCCCCTGAATCCTGCGGGTGGTCGCGCTGGACCCCCTGGACCCGCTGTGACTGCGGCACCGGGACCCGGCAGCGCTTCAGGTGAGGGGGGGTCTGACCCATAACGGGGGGATCTGACCCATAGCGGGGGGTCTGACCCATAACGGGGGGATCTGACCCATAGCGGGGGGTCTGACCCATAACGGGGGGATCTGACCCGTAACGGGGATCCTGCCCCATATCGGGGGTCCTGCCCCACTCCCCACAGGTCTCCCACCAATCCCGCGGCCGCGCCGGGCGGTGCCCCCTGCACCGGGACCCCCCGAGAGGTGCGGGGCTGTGCCGAGCTCTGCGGACCCGGTACGTGCCGGGATCCCCCCGACCCCCGGAGCTGGGACCCCCCAGTGCCCCCGCGGCCCCTCGAGCCCCTCGTGTCCGTCTGTCCGTCTGTCCGCAGAGCCCGGGAGCGCGGGAACGCCCGGGGCCACCGGGGCACCCTGGCTGTGGGGGTCCCCACGGCCGCGGGGGGGCACGGAGACCCCAGAGACCCCGGAGATCCCAGAGACCCCGGAGACTCCAGGGTCCCCAGAGACTCCAGGGTCCCCAGGGTCGCCGTGGGCGCTGGAGCCGGCGTGGGGCACGGAACTGCCTTGGGGCACGGAGCCGCTCTGGGTGCCGGAGCCCCCCGAGCTCGCGGAGGCCACAGAACCCCCGGAGCCCCCGGAACCCCCGGAGGCCCCGGAACCCCCGGAGGCCCCGGAGTCCCCGGACGCCGCGCTGGGCTCGTGGTCGCAGTGGAGCACAGAGTCCCCGGGCGTGCCGGTGTCGCCGTGGAGCGCAGAGTCCCCGCCGGTGCCGGTGCCGGTGTCCCCGTGGAGCGCAGAGTCCCCGCCGATGCCGGTGTCCCCATGGAGCGCGGAGCCCGCCCGGGGCCGGTGGTCGCCGTGGGGGCCCTGGGGCGGCTGCAGCGCCCCGTGCGGGGGGGGCGAGCGCTGGCGCCGCCGGGGCTGCGGGACCCCCCCGTGCCCGGGGCCGGCGCTGCAGAGCCAGAGCTGCCACAGCCACGTGTGCCGCGGTGAGTGCCGCCGGACAGACCGACACGGACACACCGACACGGACAGACCGACACGGACAGACCGACACGGACACACCGACACGGACAGACCGACACGGACACACCGACACGGACACACAGACACGGACACACAGACACGGACAGACCGACACGGACACACAGACACGGACACACAGACACGGACACACCGACACGGACACACCGACACGGGAACCCGACACGGACAGACCGACACGGACACACCGACACGGGAACCCGACACGGACACACAGACACGGACAGACCGACACGGACACACAGACATGGACACACAGACACGGACAGACCGACACGGACACACCGACACGGGAACCCGACACGGACAGACCGACACGGACACACCGACACGGGAACCCGACACGGACACACAGACACGGACAGACCGACACGGACAGACCGACACGGACACACAGACACGGACAGACCGACACGGACACACCGACACGGGAACCCGACACGGACACACAGACACGGACAGACCGACACAGGAACCCGACACGGGAACCCGACACGGACACACAGACACGGACACACAGACACGGACACACAGACACGGACAGACCGACACAGGGACCCCTACAGGGACCCTCATCCAAAGACCCCAGTACAGAGACCCCGAGACCGGGACCCCGACCCAGAGATGTCACCCCGAGCCCCCGAGCACAGCCCTGCCCCACAGCCCTGCCCCACAGTGCCCCAGAGCTCTGCCCCCACTGACCCCCAGTGCCCCACAGACCCCACAGTGCCCCTCAGTCTTGCCCCACAGTGCCCCACAGATCCCCCAGTGCCCCACAGCGCTGCCCCTCATCCCCACCCCACTCCCCCTGGGGCCCTGAGTCGGGGGGTGTTGGAGGGCACAGGCCGGGTGCCCCCGGGGTGCTCAGGGATGTTTTTGGGGTGCCCCGGGGTGCTCAGGGGTGTTTTTGGGGGTGCCCCGGGGTGCTCAGGGGTGCTCAGGGGTGTTTTTGGGGTGCCCCGGGGTGCTCAGGGGTGTTTTTGGGGTGCAGAGGCCGGGCGCCCCGGGGTGCTCAGGGGTGTTTTGGGGGTGCCCCGGGGTGCTCAGGGGTGTTTTTGGGGGTGTCCCGGGGTGCTCAGGGGTGTTTTTGGGGTGCAGAGGCCGGCTGCCCCCCGGGCCGGACGTTCCGTGAGTGCGGGGGGGGCTCGGGGTGTCCCCGGAGCTGCGCCCACCTCGGGGGGGCCGTGGGGTGCGCGGGGGGGTGCCAGGAGGGCTGTCACTGCCCCCCCGGGACCTTCCTGCACCGCCACACCTGCCTGCAGGTGAGAGCCCCGGGGTGCTGCCCCCCAAATCCTGCGGTGGGAATGATGGGGCGGGGGAATTTGGGGTTTGGGGCGGGGTCCTCCAAGCCACGGGAGCCCCTCAGAGCGGTCGGGGATCCCGGAGGGGGAGGATCCCCTTTGTGGGGGTGTCCTGGGGGTGTTCCCTGGGCCACGGGGGCTGCGTGGGCTCCCCTCGGCAGGATGGTCCCGGGGTCGGGGGGATCACGGGGAAGGGGAGGGACCCCTGGGACAGTGGGGGGGTCCCCAAGGTGCTTCTGTGGGGTGGTGGGTGCCCCATGGGTGCCTCCCAGGAGGGTGGGTGCCCGCCGGAACAGTGCGGGGTTCATGGGGTCCCTGGGTCTGTGGTTTGGGGTCCCTGGGTCTGGTTTGGGGTCCCTGGGTCTGTGGCTTTGGGGTGGTTTGGGGTCCCTGGATCTGTGGGTGTCCCCGGGCGCCCCCCACGCCCTGCTCAGCCCCAGCAGTGCCCCTGCTCGGTGCCGGCCGCGCTGCTGCGGGGGGGCACGCCCGGAACCACCCCCGGGCCCGCCCCCGGGACCGCCCCCGGCCCGGAGCCCTCCGGGAGCCCGCCTGGGGACCCCGCGATGGCGGAGCTGCCTCCGGGCGGGACCCTGCGCCTGGGCTGCGCCCGCTGGTGAGGAGGGGACGGCCCCGGGGCCTCCCCCACCCCCCAGGTCCTTCCCCTCGGCCCCTCCCCTCCCAGCGCCCCCTGCCCCTCTGAGCGCCCCTGTGCCCCCCAGCTCGTGCCTGTGGGGCCGCCTGCGCTGCGGCCCCGCCGGGGGCTCCGCCTGCAACGGGACCGCGACACCGACCTGCCCGAGCCCCCCGTGTGCCGGTGGGTACCGGCCCCAAAACCCCCTGCCCTACACCGACCTGCCCGAGCCCCCCGTGTGCCGGTGGGTACCGGCCCTATAGCCCCTGCCCTACACCGACCTGCCCGAGCCCCCCGTGTGCCGGTGGGTACCGGCCCTATAGCCCCTGCCCTGTACCGGGGGTACCGGCCCTATAGCCCCTGCCCTACACCGGGGGTACGGCCCACCGGGGGTACGGCCCCATAGCCACTGCCCTACACCGACCTGCCCGAGCCCCCCGTGCGCCGGTGGGTACCGGCCCTATAGCCCCTGCCCTGTACCGGGGGTACCGGCCCTATAGCCCCTGCCCTACACCGGGGGTACGGCCCTATAGCCCCTGCCCTACACCGGGGGTACCGGCCCTATAGCCCCTGCCCTACACCGGGGGTACAGCCCTATAGCCCCTGCCCTGTACCGGGGGTACCGGCCCTATAGCCCCTGCCCTACACCGGGGGTCCCAGCCCCCCTGCCCTACACCGGGGGTCCCAGCCCCACTGAAGGGGGACCCAGCGGGTCCTGGGGTGTCACCGGCTGTTTGTGCCCCACAGCGGATCTCGGCCCCACAGCAGAGCCCGGCCCCACAGCAGATCTCAGCCCCACAGCGGATCTCAGCCCCACAGCAGAGCCCGGCCCCACAGCAGATCTCAGCCCCACAGCGGATCTCAGCCCCACAGCAGAGCCCGGCCCCATATCGGATCTCGGCCCCACAGCAGATCTCGGCCCCACAGCAGATCTCGGCCCCATATCGGATCTCAGCCCCACAGCAGATCTCGGCCCCACAGCGGATCTCAGCCCCATATCGGATCTCAGCCCCACAGCAGAGCCCGGCCCCACAGCAGATCTCAGCCCCACAGCAGATCTCGGCCCCACAGCGGATCTCAGCCCCACAGCCGATCTCAGCCCCACAGCGGATCTCAGCCCCACACCCGATCTCAGCCCCACAGCAGATCTCGGCCCCACACCCGATCTCAGCCCCATATCGGATCTCGGCCCCACAGCCGATCTCAGCCCCACAGCCCCAGGTGCGGGTCCCCCCCCCGCTGTGTCGCCCAGCCCGGGCTCTGCCCCACCCCGCCCCACTGACGGGCCCTTCCCGCAGGGGCCGAGGAGGAGCCCGGGGGGTCCCGGGCGGTCCCGTGGGGGCCGTGGGGGCCGTGGGGGCCCTGCAGCCAGAGCTGCACCCGCCCCGAGAGCCCCGCGAGCCGCAGCCGCCACCGGGACTGCGCGGGAGAGAACTGTGGGGCGGGGGGGGAGTGCCGAGAGCCGGCCCTGCAACCTGCAACACTGCCAAGGTACGGGGGATTCGGGGTTATGGGGTTATGGGGTCACCCTGCAACCTGCAACACTGCCAAGGTACGGGGATTTGGGGTTTGGGGTCACCCTGCAACCTGCAACACTGCCACGATATGGGGTTATGGGGTCTGGGGTCCCTGCAGCCTGCCCCCCTGTGTGGGTACAGAGGTTGGGGCTCTGTGGGAGTCCCGCTCATTGTGGGGGGATCCAGTGGGTCCCTGCCCTTCTGTGGGATGTTCTGGTTCCGTTTTGGGGTCGCTCTGACGCTGTGGTTCCCGCAGCTCCCCCCTGTGTGACGCCGCCCTGTGAGGAGGTTTGGGGGGCTGTGGGGGGTTCTGGGGTATTTTTGGGGTCTCGCTGACGCTGTATCCCCCTGTGAGGAGGTTTGGGGGGCTGTGGGGGGTTCTGGGGTATTTTTGGGGTCGCTCTGACGCTGTGGCTCCCGCAGCTCCCCCCTGTGTGACGCCGCCCTGCCCGTGCCGCTGGAGCCCCTGGGGGCCCTGGGGGTCCTGCTCGCGGCCCTGCGGGGGGGGGCAGCAGCGGCGGCTCCGCGCCTTCGCCCCCCCCGGGCCCGGGGAGCCCTGGTGCCCCCAAATCCTGGGGGGCCACGAGCAGCGCCGGCCGTGCGGGGGTGACGGCGTGCCGGGGTGCGGGATCGGGGCTGGGGATCGGGGTGTGAGGGGCATGAGGGGGCTACGGGGGGACACTGGGGGGATATTGGGGTGGCTGGGGGTGTATTGGGGGGTTCAGAGGGGCTGCGGTGGGATCAGGGGCTTGTGGAGACTGGGGGGGCGTGGGGACTCCTGGGGGCTTTGGAGAGGGGGCGCTCGGGGGGGCTGTGGGAAAGGGGGGCTCGGGGGTCTCGGGGGTCTCGGGGGTCTCGGGGGTTCGGGGGTCTCGGGGGGTCTGTCCGGGTGTTTCAGGGGGGCAGGGATCGGGGGTCTCGGGGGGTCTGTCCGGGTGTTTCAGGGGGGCAGGGATCGGGGGTCTCGGGGGGTCTGTCCGGGTGTTTCAGGGGGGCAGGGATTGGGGGTCTCGGGGTGTCTCAGGGCGAACCCGGGCGGTGCCGGGGGTCACCCCCTGTCCCCCCCCCCCCGCAGTGAACGGCGCGTGGTCCCCGTGGGGTCCCTGGTCGCGCTGTGACGTCACGTGCGGGGGGGGCCGCTCCGTGCGCAGCCGCTCCTGCTCCAGACCCCCCCCCAAAAACGGGGGCAGCCCCTGCCCCGGGGGGGCGCACGAGCTGCGGGTCTGCAACCCCCGGGCCTGCGGTACGGGACTGCGGGGGGCACCGGGAGGGGCTCGGGGGGTGCCCTGGGGGGCTCGGGGGGTGCCCTGGGGGGCTCGGGGGGCTCCATGGCGGTGTCGGGGCGCTGACGGTGCCCCCTCCCCAGGCCCGCGGTGCCCCCCCGGGCAGACCGAGTCCCCCTGTGCCACGCGGTGCCCGCGGAGCTGCCGGGACCTGCAGGAGGGGGTGTCCTGCGAGGGGGGGGCTCCCTGCGAGCCCGGCTGCCGCTGCCCTCCCGGTGAGACCCCGGCCCCCCCCGGCACCCCCTGTGTGACCCCCCCCCGGCCCCGGCCCCCCCTGAGCCGGTCCCTGTGCCCCCCCAGGGACCCTGGAGCAGGACGGGGGCTGTGTCCCCCCCGCGCTGTGCGGGTGCCTGGACTCGGGGGGGCACCTCTGGGTGCCGGGGGGGAGCGGCCCCGCCCGGGGCTGCCGCAACTGCACCTGCGCGGGGGGGCGGCTGCGCTGCGAACCGGGGGCGTGCCCGCCCCCCTCCGCCACCCCCGGGACCCCCCCCGGGACCCCCCCCTGCGCCTGGAGCCGCTGGAGCCAGTGGGGACCCTGCAGTGTCACCTGCGGGGGGGGGCGGCAGGAGCGGTACAGGTGAGGGGGGGACACGGGGGGGACACGGGGGCGGGACACGAGACACCAGGGGGGGACACACGGGCTGGGATGCGACACGGGGGTTGTGGGGGGGACACGGCACCTTGGGGACATGTCACACCGTGGGGGGGGGGACACGGAACTGTGGGGACGCAGAACTTGGGAGAGAATGCGGTGTCTGCTGAGGGGGGGGGTCATGGCCCTGGGGGGGCCACGTCGCCTTGGGGACACACGTGGCGCTGAGGGGACACAAACCCCACGGGGGTGACGGGGCACTGGGGGGCTGTGGGAACACCCGATGCCCGTGTGACCCCCCAGGACCCCCATCCCCGCCGAGGGCGGGGGCAGACCCTGCGGAGCCCCCCAGGAGCAGGCTCGGGGCTGCGAGGAGGCGCCGTGCCCCCCCCTGTGCCCCGGGGCGGGGGCCGAGCGGGCCCTGGGCGAGCGCTGGAGCCCCGGCCCGTGCCGGCACTGGTGAGTTGGGGGCGCCGGGGGGGCCGGGGCGCTCTGAGCGCCCCCCACCCTCCGCCTGTGCCCCCCCCGCAGCACCTGCACCCCCGAGGGACCCGAGTGCTGGGACACGCCGTGTGCCGCCGGTACGGGGGCCGGAGGGGGACTGGGGAGGGCAGGGGGGGCTCACGGGGCATTCGGGGGTCCCGAGGGTCCCGGTGACCCCGGTGCCCCCCCGTGCCCCCCCAGAGCCGTGTGACTGGAGCCCCTGGGGGCCCTGGGAGCCCTGCAGCGGAGACCCCTGTGAGGGGGGGTCCCGCCTGCGCCACCGGCACCCCCTGCACCCCGAGCCCCCCGGGTGGGCGTGTGCGGGGGTCCGCACCCAGAGCGAGAGCTGCAGCTCCAGCGCCTGCCCCGGTAACGCCGGTAACGCCCCGGGCACCCCCTCCCTGCGCCCCCGGTAACCCCCCCGGGCTGCTCAGGGCTCCCGCGTCCCCCCAGAGCCCCGCTGCGGCGAGAGGGGCCGGAGCCGCAGCCCCTGCGCCGGGCGCTGCCCCCGGAGCTGCGCGGACACCTGGGCGCCGGTGCAGTGTCTGCAGGGACCGTGCGAGACAGGTACGGCCCGGCCACCGCACAGGCTGTCCCCACCGTGTCCCCGAGCAGCCACCGTGTACCCCCGAGCAGCCACCGTGTCCCCACCATGTCCCCTCGAGCACCCACGGTGTCCCCGAGCACCCACGGTGTCCCCACGGTGCCCCCACGGTGTCCCCCCGCTCCAGGGTGCCGGTGCCCCCCCGGGCAGCTGCTGCAGGACGGGCTCTGCGTTCCCCTGAGCCGCTGCCGCTGCGGGACCCCCGGCGGGGACAGCGGGAGCCGCGAGGTGGCCCCGGGGACCGTGACCCGCATCGGGTGCCACAACTGGTGCGTGACACCGAGGGGGGGACGCGGTGGGGAGGGCACCGGCGCTCGGGGACAGACACGGGGTGGGGGGACACGGGGGGACGGCACGGGGCCGGGGAGGGGGGACAGACACGGGGGTGACAGCGGGACGGGCACGGGAACGGCGGGACGGGCACGGTGACAATGGGATGGGCACGGTGACAGTGGAACTGGCACGGGGGACAGGGTGGGACGGGCACGCTGACAATGGGACGGGCACGGGGGACAGGGCACAGTGCTGGCAGGACAGGCACCGTGGCGGTGCCACAGGGCAGAGCCCCACATGCGGTGACGGTGACACGCGTGTCACCCCCCGTGCAGCACCTGCGAGAACGGGACCCTGACCTGCCCAGCGCTGCCGTGTCCCTCTCCGGAGCCCGCCACGCCCGCCATCCCCGTGTCCCCCCTGTCCCCGCTGTCCCCCTTGCCCCCTCTCTCCGCCCCGCTCTCCCTCTCTCCCGAGCCCCCCCTGTCCCCCGCCGTGTCCCCCTGGTCCCCCTGGTCCCGCTGCTCCCGCAGCTGCGGCGGCGGCACCCGGAGGCGGCAGCGGCAGTGCCGGGAGCGCCCCGGGCCGGGGCCGCCGTGCGGGGAGAGCCCCGGGGAGGAGACGGCGGCGTGTAACGCCCAGGCGTGCCCCGGTGAGAGCGGGGACACCGGGGACACGGAGGGACCGGGGCGGAGCGGGGAAAGGGAGGGATGGAGGGAACGGAGGAGGGAACGGGGAACGGGGAAAGAACGGGAGAGGGGAACGAAGCGGTGGGAGAGGGAGGGAGGGAGGGCCGGGGGTCAGGGCGGTGCCGGTGACATTCCCGGTGCCATTCCCGGTGCCGTTCCAAATGTGATTCCCGGTGCGGTTCCCGGTGCCGTTCGCAGTGCCGTTCCCGGTGGCCCCAAGCTGCCCCCCGGGTGAGGTGTGGCTGGACCCCGGCCCCGCCTGCGAGCGCAGCTGCCAGGACCTGGCGGGGCCCCCCGGGACCTGCGGAGGGACCCCCGCGACCCCGGACAGCTCCGGCACCCCCGCGACCCTCGGGACCGCCGTGACCCCGGACAGCTCCGGCACCCCCGGGGTCCCCACGACCCCCGGCACCCCCGCGACCCTCGGGACCGCCTCGCCCCCCCCGCGCTGCACCTGCGCCCCCGGGCGGTACCGGAACGGCTCCGGGCAGTGCGTGAGCGCGGGGAGCTGCGGCTGCCGGTACCGCGGGGCGCTGCGAGCGGTGAGCGGGGCGGGGGGCGCGGGGCGGGGCTCCCTGAGCCGCGTCTGGGGGTCCCTGAGCAACGCTGGGGTCCCTGCCCCGCCGCAGGCCGGCAGCGAGTGGCAGGAGCCGTGCGGGACCTGTCGCTGCTCCGAGGGACGCGTCACCTGCGCCACCTCCTGCCCCGCGCTCACCTGCCCCGAGGTGCGGGGCTCCGGGGGGCTCCGGGGGGCGCGGGGGGTCCCGACGGGCCGGGGCTGAGCCTGGGGGTCCCCACAGGGCACGGAGCCGGTGCGGGAGCCCGGGAGCTGCTGCCCCGTGTGCCGGGACGAGTGGCCAGGTGAGACCCCGCACCCAGGGGAGGGGCGGCCCCGGCAGCCCCCCCCGCTCACACCGTGTCCCCCCCGGTGCAGAGGAGCCCCCCGGGCCGTGCCGGCTCCTCACGGCGCTCCGGACCATCGCCAAGGGCGCGTGTGTCCTGCGGGGCGTCCGTGTCACCTACTGCGCGGGGGCGTGCCGCTCCCGCACCGCCGTCAGCGCCCAGGTACGGGGGGCGCGGGGGGACCCCAGCCCCGCCTGCTGCCCCCGGAGCCGCCTCTGCGCGGCCCGGGGCTCTCCGGGACTCTCCGGGGCTGTCCGGGAGTGTCTGGGGCTGTCCGGGGTGACCGGGGGTGTCCCTGGGTGCCCAGGGCTGCCCGGGGCTCTCCGGGGCTGTCTCCGGTGATCTCCGGTGCCCCCCGGTGCTCTCCGGGCTCCCCGGGTCTCTCCGGTGCTCCCGGGTGTCCCCGGGCTGTCCCGGTGCTCCCCGGTGCTCTCCGGGCTCCCCGGGCTCCCCGGGTCTCTCCGGTGCTCCCGGGTGTCCCCGGGCTGTCCCGGTGCTCCCCGGTGCTCCCCGGGCTCCCCGGGTCTCTCCGGTGCTCCCGGGTGTCCCCGGGCTGTCCCGGTGCTCTCCGGGTTCCCCGGGTCTCTCCGGTGCTCCCGGGTGTCCCCGGGCTGTCCCGGTGCTCCCCGGTGCTCTCCGGGCTCCCCGGGCTCCCCGGGGCTCTCCGGTGCTCCCGGGTGTCCCCGGGCTGTCCCCCGCCGTGACGCGGTGTCCGCAGGAGCCGTACGTGCGGTCTCTGTGCGAGTGCTGCAGTTACCGGCTGGACCCGGCCCGGCCCGTGCGGGCCCTGCTGCTGCCGTGCCCCCGGGGCCGCCCCCGGCCCGCGCTGCTGCCCCGCATCGCCCAGTGCCGCTGCGAGCCCTGCCGGGGTGCGGGAACGGGAACGGGGGAACGGGGGAACGGGGGAACGGGGGCTGGGGGAAGCCGGGGGGATCCCGCCGGGGCTCGGGTGGAGCGGGAGATCCTGCCAGGGTGCGGGGACTGGGGGGATCCCGCCGGGGGTCGGGGGGCTCTGGGGGAGCGGGGGGTCCTGCCGGAGCTCCGAGGTCCAGGGGGAGCGGGGGGATCCTGCGGGGTTCCGGGGGGGACACGCGGCCCCCGCGCCGCTCGGAGCGCTGCGGGTGGAGGAGGGGCTGTCCCGGGGGTCCCGGGGGGCTGCGGGGGGCTCGGGGACAGCCGGAGCCTCCTGTCCCGCAGGCGGGGACTTCAGCCGGCGCTGAGGAGACCCCCGGACACCGCCCCTCCTCCCCCGTGTCGGCATCGAGGAGATCATTATGGATACCAATAAACGATCGATAATCGATGGAGCTCCATAATCGATAATTAGTCGTTAACAGATAACCTCACCCGGGCACTGGGGGAACTGGGGAACTGCGGGGGGGGGGGCACTGGGATGAACTGGGGGTCTCGGGGAGCGGCACTGGGATGAACTGGGATGAACTGGAGGACTCGGGGGGGGCACTGGGATGAACAGGGTGTCTCGGGGGGCGGCACTGGGATGAACTGGGGGTCTCCAGGGGTGCACTGGGATGAACTGGAATGAACAGGGCGACTCGGAGGGCGGGCACTGGGGTGAACTGGGGATCTCCGGGGGGGCTCTGGGGGGCACTGGGATGAACTGGGGGACACTGGGGGTCTCGCTGCTGGCGGAGGCTGCAGTTTCCCCCGCTACCACACGAGGGCGCCCACAGAGAGGAGGGCGGGTGGGAGGGTCCGGGCCCGTCCTGTACGCGGGGACAGCGCGGGGACACTGCGGGATGGACACTGGGGGATGGACACTCTGGGGACACTCTGGGGGACTCTCTGAGGGACACTCTAATGGACGCCCCTTGGCGCCGATGGCGGCCGCGCTCTCGACCCGTCACGGACAAGGCGCCGCCGCCGCGTGATGACGCAGCCGAGCAGCCAATAGCGAGCGGACGCGGCACTGTGACGTCATAACTGCGCGCCTCGGTGGCGGCCCGTGCGCGGGGCCCGGGCGGGAGAGGTCAGAGAGGGCCTGGAGCGGGACCGGGAGCGGGGATGGGATCAGGGACGGGACTGGGAACCGGATCGGGGACGGGATCGGGGACGGGATCGGGATCGGGAATGGGAGCGGAACTGGGACCGAGATCGGGATCGTTGATGGGATCCGGCATGGGACTGGGTCCGGCGTTGGGATCGGGACTGTGGGAACACTGACGGGGCTGGGAGAAGCGGGCCCGGGGAAGCACTGGAGGGAACCGGAACCCGGGCGGGGAGGTCGGGAGCGGGGCCGGGCTGTAGAGCATGGGCCGGGGTGAGACCGGCACCGGAGGGGCCCGGCCCGTGGGGGGAGCTGGGGCACGGTTCACTAACGCGGGACCGGGCAGTGTCCCGGTGCGGCCGCCCTAACGCTCGGTCCCGCGCAGAGTCCCGGGATGCGGCGCTGAGCCCTGCCCGGTGCCGCCGAGCCCTGCCCGGGCACCGAGCCGTGCCCATGGCCGCGCACCTGGTTCGCCGCTGCTGCCGGCGGCTGCTGCTGCTGCCGGCGCCGCCGGGACCCGGCGCGGGGCCCGCCCTGCGCACCGGCCCGGCCCGGGCCGCCGAGGAGCCGCGGGCACGGGCACGGCCCGAGGGCGAGGAGCAGCAGCTGCGGGAGCTGATCCGGGAGGCCGGCAGCGCGCAGGAGCTGCTGCAGCTGGGCCGCGGCTCCGCCCTGAGCAGCAACCTGGCGGCGCTGGCCATCGCCCGGCTGGCACGGCTGAGCACGGAACAGCACCTGGACACCGAGAGCCTGCGCGGGGACCCCCGCTTCCAGCAGCTCCTGGGGACACTCGATGCACAGGTGGGACAGGGACAGGGTGAGGGACACACCTGGGAGGGACTGCTGGGGACAGGGACGGGAGGGACTGCTGGGAACACACCTGGGACTGTTGGGGTCACACCTGGAAGGGGCTGCTGGGGACAGGGCTGCAGCGGCCACTGTGCTCTGCTCTGTACCTGAGCACTCAGGGCACACCTGGGGCACAGGCTGGCAGTGCCCAGGTCCCTCCAGCAGGTTCAGGGCACACTTGGGAGGTGGCACAGGTAGAGGAGCGGTGTCCCAAATCCTCACTGGTTATCCCTGTCCCACACCTGCCCCACACCCGTCCCTGTGGCTGATCTCTTAGGTGTGGAACACACCTGTTGTCCCTGTGTCACATGTATCCCTGCGTCCCTGTGCAGATCTCCCAGGTGTGGACCACACCTGTGGTCCCTGTGTCACTCATGTCCCCATACCTCTGCAGATCTCCTAGGTGTGGAACAGGGCTGGTATCCCCATGTCTCACATCTGTCCCCGTGTCCCCTGCCGATCTCTCAGGTGTGGAACACGCCTGTTGTCCCTGTGTCACTCATGTCCCCATGCCTCTGCAGATCTCTCAGGTGTGGAACACGCCTGTTGTCCCCATGTCACACCTGTCCCTGTGTCACACCTGTCTCTGTGTCCCCCTGTCCCTGTCCCCGCAGATCACCCAGGTGTGGAACACGCCCGTTGTCCCTGTCTCACCCGTGTCCCTGTCTCACCCCTGTCCCTGTCTCACATCTGTCCCTATCTCACCCTGTCCCTGTCCCCGCAGATCTCCCAGGTGTGGAACTCGGCTGTTGTCCCTGTCTCACCCTGTCCCTGTCTCACCCCTGTCCCTGTCTCACCCCATCCCTGTCCCCTCAGATCTCCCAGGTGTGGAACACAGCTGTTGTCCCTGTCTCACCCGTGTCCCTGTCTCACCCTGTCCCTGTCTCGCCCTGTCCCTGCAGATCTCCCAGGTGTGGAGCTCGGCTGTTGTCCCTGTCTCACCCTGTCCCTGTCTCACCCCTGTCCCTGTCTCGCCCTGTCCCTGTCCCCGCAGATCTCCCAGGTGTGGAACTCGGCTGTTGTCCCTGTCTCACCCCTGTCCCTGTCTCGCCCTGTCCCTGTCCCCGCAGATCTCCCAGGTGTGGAACTCGGCTGTTGTCCCTGTCTCACCCCTGTCCCTGTCTCACCCTGTCCCCGCAGATCTCCCAGGTGTGGAACTCGTCGCTGCTGCAGCTGCTGCGCGTGCTGCCGGCGCTGGGGCTGGCGCGGGCGGGCGCCAGGTGCGCTCGGTGGAGCAGGAGGTGCTGTGGCGGGCTGCGGCGCCTGCCCCTGCGCCAGCTGGTGCAGCTGGCAGAGCAGCTGGCGGGGCAGGGCCACCAGGGGCTGCTGCTGCCCGAGGTGCTGCGCAAGCTGGAGCTGCGCTGGACCGAGCTCGAGGGCACCCGCACCGTGGTGACGCTCATGGCCAAGGTGGGACACCTGTCCCCCGCCCTGATGGAGCGCCTGGAGGACAAGGTGGGACCCTGCACCTGGGCACGGCACGGGGGTGGCACTGGGGACCTCAGCCTGGGCTGGGGGGGGTCACTAGGGGTCAGCGGTGCCACCTGGGGTCACCTGCACCACCTGTCCTCTGTCTCCTTTCTCCCACCTGTCCCTGTCCCACCTGTCCCTTAGGCCCTGGAGCTGGCAGAGCAGTTTGACCCTGTCTCACCTGTCCCTTAGGCCCTGGAGCTGGCAGAGCAGTTTGTCCCTGTCTCACCTGTCCCACCTGTCCCTTAGGCCCTGGAGCTGGCAGAGAAGTTTGACCCTGTCTCACCTGTCTCACCTGTGACCTGTCCCACCTGTCCCTCAGGCCCTGGAGCTGGCAGAGCAGTTTGTCCCTGTCTCACCTGTCCCATCTGTCCCTGTCTCACCTGTCTCACCTGTGACCTGTCCCACCTGTCCCTCAGTTCCTGGAGCTAGCAGAGCAGTTTGTCCCTGTCTCACCTGTCCTGTCTCACTGTCCCACCTGTCCCTCAGGCCCTGGAGCTGGCAGAGCAGTTTGACCCTGTCTCACCTGTCCTGTCTCACTTGTCCCACCTGTCCCTCAGGCCCTGGAGCTGGCAGAGCAGTTTGTCCCTGTCTCACCTGTCCTGTCCCACCTGTCCCTCAGGCCCTGGAGCTGGCAGAGCAGTTTGTCCCTGTCTCACATGTCCTGTCCCTCCTGTCCCACCTGTCCCTTAGGCCCTGGAGCTGACAGAGCAGTTTGTCCCTGTCTCACCTGTCCTGTCTCACTGTCCCACCTGTCCCTCAGGCCCTGGAGCTGGCAGAGCAGTTTGACCCTGTCTCACCTGTCCTGTCCCACCTGTCCCTCAGGCCCTGGAGCTGGCAGAGCAGTTTGACCCCTGTCTCACCTGTCCTGTCTCACCTGTCCCACCTGTCCCTCAGGCCCTGGAGCTGGCAGAGCAGTTTGACCCCGACGAGCTGCGCCGTGTGGCGCTGGCACTGGCGCTGCAGCAGCGCCGCTGCGTGCCCCTGCTGCGGGCCCTGAGCTACCACCTGCTGCAGAAACCTGCTGAGCTGCCCCTGCCCGTGCTCACCGACCTGCTCTTCGCCTTCAGTGAGTGCCAGGGACACCTGCGGGGGGCTGGGGACAATCTGTGGTCCCATGTCACTGTCCTGGGGCTGGGAGTTGCTGGGCTGGGTGCCAGGGACACCTGCAGGGGGGCTGGGGACAAATCCTGGTCCTGTGTCACTGTCCCGGGGCTGGAGTTGCCTGACTGGCACTGGGTGGGGGAATCCAGATGAGCTTTGGGGTCCCAAATGTGTCCTGTGCCAGCCAGGTGGGATGAGGGGATGAGGGAGTCCAGGTGAGCTTTAGGGTCCCAAACCTTTCCTGTGCCAGCCAGGTGGGGTGAGGGAGCCCAGGTGAGCCCAAGCAGCTGTTGCCAGTGGGTTTTCCCAGTGCTGGGTGGGAACAGGGGCCTGGGCACTGTGGGTCAGCCCAGGGTCATCGAGGGGGCCATTCTAGGTGTCCTGTCACTCCAGGTGTCCCAAACCCCTGGGAGCTCATAGCATGAGGCCATTCCATCACCCTGCGTGTCCCAAGTCCCTCCCCAGCTCACCTGCAGCCCCTTTGGGCACTGGGAGGGCTCTGAGGTGTCCCTGGAGCCTCTCCTCTCCAGGTGGCCGTCCCCAGCTGTCACCTGTGGCGCGGGGGGCACGGGACAGAGGTGCTCAGAGCCCCCTGTGCTGAGCTGTCCCCCTTGGCACAGGTAAGCTGAGCTTCCAGCAGCCGCAGGTGCTGCACCGCCTGGCCCTGGAGCTGCAGCCTCACCTGGGCAGCCTGAGCCCGGCTCAGGTGCTGCGCTGTGCCCGCTCCTTCAGCAGCCTGCGCTGGCTCAGCCGGCCCCTGGCCGAGGCCATGGCTCAGGTGAGCCCTGGGGG